AGGTTTTACAGCAGATTTTGCAGGCATATTTTTTCTCCCCTTCCACCAGTAGCACATGGTCCTCAGCAGCTGCTTTCTTGCACTTGGAGAGAACATCCTCTGAAGCTCTTGTCAGAGGTGGCCGATCGGCGACGTCCCCCCCAGAGCCATGGGAAAGCTCTGTGCCGGCTTCTGATCCAGGTTGCGTTTTGGGGGCGATTCGACGGAAGGTTGTTGCTCCTGAGCTTTTCCCTGCCCTCGAGGGTTGGACGACAGGGGCTCCCGCACTGAGTGGTGATCTGACGGTGCTCAGGAACCCTGTTAGAGAGCTCTGGGTGGGCTGGAGGATGATGGTGTCACTAAATCCTGGACTCTGAGTTGGGAGAAGCTGCTGCAAGGGGACCGAGGTGACCGGAAAGATAAGTGAAGATGAAGAGTCTGAAGACTGAGCAGTAGAGGTGTTTGCCTCGTCTGACTTTTGATCCTGCTCACCTGCATCTACCAGAGCTGGAGGAGCCTCGCTGGCGGCGGCGGCAGCAGCTGTGGCAGCAGCTGTGAGGCTGGCTAGACTGTCATCTTCTTCCAGAGCTCCCATGACACTTTCAGTGCCGGGATTGAGGAAGCAGGAAAAGGCCAGGTCTGACAGGCTGTCCAGGCCCTCACCATCTGCCGAGTCCTCATCCAAATCTCCAGTTTCTCCCTGCTCCTCGGTGCGAAGATCTGTGCACAGCTCTGACTGTAAAGAGCCAACATTACATGTTGCTGGGCTGGCTGCAACCATCTTCTCGCCACTGAATTGTGCATTCAAATTATCTGTGCAGGCTTCCAGTGGAGACGGAGGAGAATTACTGGTTAACAAATCTGGAGAATAGGAGCTTAGATTTTCTTTTTTCACCTCAATCACTGCCATCTGAGGTTTGTCTCCCTCTTCCTCTCCCACCTTTACCTTGACCACACTGTCTCCATCTGTATGTTCACCCTTCTCCCACACACCTGCTATGCTGCTATCCGACTGGCTCGGCAGCTGGATTTCCTCTAATTCTCCTTTGGGTGCTTTGTACTTCTTCTCCTCATCATCACCTTGGTTTTCCCAGAGTGTGTCAGTGATCTGCAGGCAACCTGAAAACAACGGAGCTTCTCCTCTCTCCTCATGGCTCACACAGCTCCTGGTAACAATAGGCGAACACTCCTTATAGTTTTCTCCAGGAAGTCTGCAGGTTCTCTTCTTGTCACTGAGCCTGTCCTCATGCAGCTTTCTCTTATGCCCCACTATCACCACACAGTCTTCATCCCCACCAGACTGACTCACCTCCTCTCCCATTTCCTCTTTATCGAGGTCCTCTTCCAGGCCTGATCTGACCCGTTGCTGTGAACTGCCTGCTACCTGGGAAGATGGACTTTCCTGCTCCTGCTGCTGCACAGATCTCCAACCTTTAGGCGCAGAGGCAGGGAAGTTTTTCCTGGACAGGTGTATCTTGCAGGCCTTGACCACGGCGTTGAGGTGCAGGTGCGATGCCGCCAGTAACACATCCATCACATTGGAGGTCCCTAGGGACAGAGTGGAGGTGTAAATCATATCGAGCAGGGTGGAGAAAGACTCTGGGGTCACCACCTCCGGATCGAGCTCTATCACATTGGGACCATCTCGACACCTGTCAGCCCCTGAACCTCCAGCCTCATCTGCAGTGTCGCTGGAGGTGAGGAGAGCCCTGAAGTGAGAACTGCATGCTGCCAGGATGGAGCGGTGAGCCTGAAAGGTCTGACCTCCAACCACCACTACACAGTCACACAGCTGAGCTTGGAGGCGCTGGTGGTTGAGCTGCTTGAAAATATGCTGGAAGTGACTTGGAAAGTTCATCACGGCCAATGGAGCTGGTTATTAAACACAAAGGATATCAGATTATCATCGAGAATCCATCGGGCCGGTCGATCGATAAGAAACCGAGCTTATCTCATCCGCTGCGAACAGCCTCTTGGAGCACAGCTCCAGTGTTTAGCGGCGTTATTGTCTGATTCACCGGCTTTTCTAGAGATGCTCTGGAGTATGGGCGGGCCTGGTCCAACGTACGGTAACACGGAGGAACGCGGAGGATCCCGCGTGCGCACAGCTGATGCTCTCCTCACCAAAACGAACCTCAAACTGCAGGCGTGATCACCCTTACGCGATTGGTAAGCCACACAGCTCACACACAATAGCCCGGTTTAGCGTCCATTGCTGACGCCTCCATCACTTGCAGTCTCACTAGTCCGCAGACTTACGTAGCAGCGCCCCCACATGGTACGATATAGGAAGTGCGGGCACAAACCAGCCAAAATATTTGATCACAAATTTGTTTTTAAATCGTAGCAACAATACAGCAATAATTTATCTTCAGAGAGCCAGAAATAGTTGTATATTACCTATAGTTTTATACTACATACATATTAGTGCTACTAATACGTGCTGTGTATTAAGTATATCTCTCAAATATTAGTTGCTGAAGAAACACTTTTACACTGGCAACATAAACATGGATTGACTTTATTATGACATCTGGAAGAAACTATTAAAGACAAAACATGTATAAACAAAGAGTGACAATGTGTTTTAATAATAATAGTTAAAAAAAAGAAAAAAGTTTACAAAGTGAAACAAAACTGAATGTGTGTGAGCCGGTTTCTCCACTGCAGTGATGGACAAACGCTGGTAATTTTCCGCTGTGATTTTGTAATGGAACCAGCAGTCTGCTTCTGGACATCCATGCCGTCTCTGATGCAATCAGCTCTCTGTGAATGGATGGAGGAGGAGGAGACGAGCTGCTCCGCTCATATGCTGTCCAGCTTCTTTAACACATACGGCGCTGTAAACACAGACAAACGTCATATTAGCTCCACCAGCACCAGTCCAAATAGATACACAGCTCTCAGGTACAGATGAACAGACACCGTCTTACCTGCTACAGGTAAACAAATTCTTATAGGAAGAGAACAGGAAAGACAGAAGCACGCACCAACACTAACATATACAGTACTGTGCACAAGTATTGAGTGACTAATCCAAATTTGGCATTTTGTGTTCAAATCATTGTCAGTATTTACAGAGGAGGTCAGGAGCTACACAAGTGTCATCTGTAAAACACGGTGGAGGCTTTCAAACTCATTAGAATTGAACTAACTGTGTTTTTCTGTTATATACCCCGTTTCTATGTATGTTTCGTTAAATCACTGCACAATTTCCCCCATTTGCCTAGCAATACATAAAGAATAAATGATGACCCTACACTTTTCCACAGTACTGTGTATCAAGCTCAGTACTCCCTGGCACGTGAGGTGTATGTGATTTATAAATACTGTAAACCACAACATAATATACCTGATTGTGGCAACATTTTGATGTGCTCGGGTTACTTCACATGCATGATTATTACAAAGAGAAGGTGAGCAAATGACACAGTTTACTGATAATGAGCTGCATTAGATACCCGTGAGCGGTCTACTCAGCTTTCAATGTCATCTGACGCTACTCACTGGCTCTAAGCAGAGCGACGTAAATAAGGAAGTTTCGTAAAGACAAGATGACATCTTGTCGCATTTTCTTCTTCATCTCCTCCGGGTCCATTTTGGGTCCCAGCCCTTCCAGTTTAAACATTGCTGCTGTAATTCTACTCGGTCTGGTTCGCCTGAAAAATTCACCGTTTCAGGCGCATGGACGAATTAGCTAAACCGGAAATACGCAACACCGGAAATTACGACGAAATACGGTGCCTACATAGGGACAAACTATACAAAGGAATCAGAACGCGAACGTGTATAGTGGCGCCTTTATTAGACGTTGGCAGTTTTATCGTATATTTAGTTAAAATTTGAATAGTTTAGTTATTTTAGTTATTTCTAATTATGTTTTATTTATTATATTATTCTTATGTATGCTCTGCTGGATACTTAAAATAGTCTTATCCAGTGTAATGCAGAAGAATTAATACTCCTCAGGAAATTGTCTTTCTGCTAAAACATAATAGAATTATGTTAAGAAAAGAAACTAATAATAATAATAATAATGTTGGTTCCTCGGGGTGTGGTCCACAAGGGTCAATTTGACCCTGTTTTTCGGTGATTAGCTTTAAAAACATTTAATTTAGGAAGTGCATAGATCTTTTTGAGAGTGTCCGCTTTGGGACCATTGTTATTTAACTGAGTGATTATGTGAATGAGGGGTGCAGATGCCAGGCAAAGTTGTAATTAACTAAATTACCTGAGGCCAGCTGAAATAGCTTACAATAAATCGGGAACCCTTTGGGAACCCGGCCGTCTGGGGCCCCTGGTAAATTTCCTGTATAGCACAGCAGTCTATCTGTGCGTGTGGGCTGCTTCTAAAATTAAGATTATTTCAACACACACACACACACACACACACACACACACACACACACACACACACACACAATATTATTATTATTATTATTATTATTATTATTATTATTATTATTATTATTATTATATGTTGATTTATTTGACAGTAAATCTAATTTTATGGTTTTGATTTGCTCTATAACTTCTTCACTTAACATACTAACCGAAGAACTTATCAGAAACGCCCAAATGAATCCTTACTGACTACAATGACTATAATAACTCATTTGCTGTAACTAACTGACCTTGTGGAGAAGGGGTGGGATGATCGGGTGGGGGGGGGGTCCTCCCGGACAGACAGCGATGGAGGCAGCGAGGGGGTGGAGAAGGAGAGAAAGCGAGAGAGAGAGAGCGAGAGAGAGAGACGAGCAGAGAGAGGGGGTGGGTTATTTCTGAGCTCAGGGCCGAGGATTAGGCAGGGAGCAGTCCCAGTACGATGACAGCATCCAGCTTTTAGCCAAACCCCCTGCACACCACATCACCATCATCATCTGGCGCGGGAGGATATTTTCGAGAAACGGATTTCGTCTCGTATAAAATCTCTCGTCTTTTAGTAGAAAAGAGGGGGGAAGCCTAACCACCAATCCCCCCCTCCTTAGACTCCCGGTCTCCCGATCAACCACGAGGTGAGTCCTTTACTTATTTCGCGGCGTTTGCTGTCTGATGAAGGACAGGAGCGCCCGGCTGGTTACGCAGGCGCCGACCGGCACCTTGCGTTCAGACAGCCCTGCCATTTGCACCGATTATCATCTGAATATGAATAATTTAACTCGTGGTCACTTTCCCATCACCCGCGGGCTACACCCGGGACCCTATATTTGACGGAGGTGGCGGAGATTTAAATCCGATTAAGATTACGCTGTAAGGGAAACAACAAAAGAGTGACGTTTCTTCTTCTTCTTCTCTCTTTGTTTAGCCCCCTGGATTGAGGGGCATGGCTGATCAAAGTTAGTGTCTGGCCTGTGAGATGGCAGATATCGATGCTTTTAGGGGCATTCATGATGGGTTTGTGAGAGAGGCGCTGAGGTTAAATCTCACAACCCCCAGTATATTAATATTATATCAACACAATATAATATACAGTTATAGCAAAATCTCAACAAAATAGTGCTCGGTCTATAATTCACCATATTCTCAAACGCATGTGTTATGCATCGGTATTGGAAATCCACGCTGTCGTGTGCGCAGTGAAATCACCGTCACTAGCTACAGATGGGAAATGCACGGACGAAATCCTGGCTGATCAGAGGAGGGGGGGGGGATGCCAGGAGTCTGGGTAGTAAAACACGCACACTATGAATGGGCGTAGGCGATGTGCAGCCAGCCTGAGACAATCGTCTCTTCCGATTTTTCCTTCGCTCGTGTCCTTTGGCCATGCACCTCTCTCCCTGCTCTATCTCTCTCTCACGCTCCCGTGCCGTGTCGGGCATGACAAGCGCAACATAACTAGACCGGAACAATGCGTTTCGCTTGTTCTGGGGCCCTCCGTTTAACGCATGGCGTGATTTAATGTGACCGCTTTGTTGCGACCCAGACGTGTGTAGTAATGTAGCTTCCACTCATTGCTATCTTTTCATTTATATCTTCTTTTCATGCTTCTGTTTGCGGTCCGTATGGCGTTTTGGCGGATCCTAAACATAAAGCTGCTTTCACTTAGCGTGTATACATGTGAGCACGTCGCCTGCGCTCCTGCCAGCGCTGCAGGCTTTGTGCTATGACTCAGGGATGTATGCTGAAGCATGTGATGGGAATTGCTGCTCTGAGGTCACTCCGCCAGAGAAGAAAAGCGACGGGGAGAACTTGCACATCAGGAAAGACTTGATGCCTGGCTGCATTATCCTCGATCTTCTCTGCTGACTGCTCCTCTGCCCCACTTAACCAGAGCCAGTCTACCATCCTCTCCCCCTCTCTTCATCTTTAGTCTCAGCTCCATGTCTCCGGGGCAGACTGTGCTGCTGCTGAGCTGGTGTTTTGCTGCTCCTGCTCCCAATACGCTGACCAGTACGACCTGCTGAAGAATTCATCTTCAGTTCATGTTATTATAAAGAGGAAGATTTCCGCTAATTAGTAGTCACGGGTTGCCTAATGTGATTGTAGAGGCTGTTTCTGGTGGATATATGAAGGACTATATCCATGCAACATGGGTTTATTATTGAGTATTTTACACCTGTTTCTTCCTGGAGCTGTCGCCAGAGGAAACAGGAGACGTGACCTCATTCATGTGACAGCTCTCTGGTGATGCCACCACTGACTGGCAGTGGTATCTTAATGTAGGCCAACCCCCCTTTTCTGTGAACATATAGCAAAAGACTTTGAGAATGAAAAGAATTTTCCTTAAAAGCCCAAGCAAATCATCGGCTCCTAATAATCAGGTTTTCTGTTCTTAGCTGTGATATGAAATATTGAAAGCCTGCTGTATCTGCGTTATTACAGAACCCGGGCATTATTATAGCTTGTAGCAAACAGACTGAACTCTTATTGCTTTTACTTAAAGATAAGACTTGTATTGTGTTCCTCTTAAGGATCACAGACTTGAAGGAAATTGACTCAGACAGCAAAAGAAAAAAAGTGTTGCAGAAATTCCAGACTTGCTACATCTATCACCCTGGTATATCCAAAAGCTTTCCTCAGACATCAGACATCTCCTCTCTTTTTATGTCTGTCTGCATGTTTCCTTCTCTTTAGAACCATGAGAACCATTGATATAGATCTGTGACACAACACAACGTACCCATTATTTAATAGTGCACAGGGGAGCTCAAGCCTTGCCAGGTCGCTGATGAAAGGGGGAATGAAACAAGCGGTGCACGGTGAGCTCGGTCTCCATAATGCTAATGGAATGAGCTGACAGACGGAATGAGAAACAGAAGATGGGATTATGTCTGGAAGACAGGTTGCAGTAACAAACAACCAGCAAAACACAACATGCCGTGAAGTTAAACAAGCAAACAAGCTGTTCCTTTTAAAATCAACCTTATCAGTGATTTTATTCCTTCTTATTTTTTGCAATTGCATAGCATGGACCACTGCCACATGCCGCATCATATAAGGAAAACAAGCAACCTCCACCAATAGAAAGTCAACAAAAACCCCTACAGCTAGCTTTGGTGATGTTTCTAGTTAATTCTATGGCAGACCATCACCTAGAAATTTTGTACAGCATTTTATGCTGGCATGCTTAGTGGATGTTGAATCTAAATATTTAATGGGCACAAGAAAGCATCAGCCTCATGGTAGCACTAAACAAAAAGTCAGAGATTCTCCAGAGTCAGCTGGATTCATCATCCATGTGCCTCAAGAGTCTCCACCAAATTCTGTGGTAATATTTGTAGACATACACATCATGGTGCCCACGGAGCCACAGCCAATCTGGCTAAAAATACAAGACTATGTAGGGGCGTCTCACAGGTTTGGTGGTTTGATCTCTGCCTCCTGCTACTTTGTATCCTTTTACTGGATATTAAAGCACCTCCAAAAACCTCTTCCAATCTATGTATGTATGTGTAATACCATATAAATACACACGCTTTAACTCTTTACCCCCTGAAAGTCTATTAAGAGCAACACTTGAAACGCTTTTCTGAACTGAGCAGCTTCTGTCATATTTCAGGCCTGCTTATAGAAGAAAATTTACTGGGTGTGTATCAGAAATTAGTGAGGGTGGTCTCTACCTCTGCAGCTAACCTCGGAAAAGGCCGGAAACTGTCCTAATGGCAGTCAAACCACAGCTTTATTGATATATACTGAGGTGTCAAAAGCTGTCATTAAGGGTGCGGGGAAGGTCGTCAAATGTCGTCTTTATGGAGAAAAGAGTTAATGAAAAGCATCTGATGGTTCATCATGGAGTCGCTTTTTAATTACTTTAACCAAAGTTGAACATTATTTTAGACACGGTCCATTTTAAGTTCTGTGGTTATACAACATCCACATATTGAGCTTCTTACACGAAGCGACTTACAGTTCCTTACTTACACGCATAGAGCTACAGTGAACACTCAAAAGTGTCTTTTTATTTAGACATTCATTAGCAAATTTAATGAAATAGTCAACTTTTTTTTGGCTTTCTAAGAACACATTGTGAGTGTTTCCCCACCTTATATATGCAGTCAAGCATGTATTTACTTTATTTTTAAAGTCCTTCAGTATGAGTAAAGTATCTTGTTGCACTAAGTGAAAGACAAAGAACAAATCCTGCACTCTGACTGACTCTGGGGGGTTGTGTTGTCTGCTCTGCTTGTTGTTCTTCACGTTTACAACTTTGCATTTATGAAATCTGAATCATTTCAGCTGTCTCACATTAAATCCCCCCCCCCCAAACACCACCACCACCACCTCCTCCAGTCCTCCAAGTATTGAAACACGCAGTATTTTCTGCCAAGCGTGCTGCTGTTGGACTGAATGTTCCCTGAAGTCTGTGTCCAACTTTATTGGCAACAACTGTGAGCTAAAATGAAATGTGGAGTTGCTGAACCAACCCCTGCTGCCGCTGTCCTGCACCTCATGCGGTGCAGCTGTATTCGGCGTGTCGTGCTCAGCTTGGGAAGGGGGTTGGGGTGCGTATTTGTGCACGGGACAGATTGGGAACAAGATGTCCAAAACACCCAACCGGTCCTTTCTAAATAAAATCTGTTGTCGAGTCAGTGGATTCATGCCCTGATGCGACTTCTCTGTGCCACGTTCAGGTTTTTCTGTACTGACGTGGTTTAGCCCAGCAGTGCTAATTGGGCTTAAAACCATTTTCTCTTCAGCTGACTGCACAGGAACTGCCCGTTCAGTACCACCTCTCAGCCCCCTGAGGATAGAGTCCAGAAGCCCAATTCTATGAACTGCATGCGTCCTCAAACTGGGATTAAATAACTGGCTGTTTTGTCAGCGACAGAGAGACATTGTGTGAGGAAAATGAGCAGACGGGGGAGGGATTGTCTTAGAGAAATCAGACACAGACAAAAGAGAGAGAGAAAAAAAGAGGGAAGACAGACTTTATTACCTAACAGCATTCTTCTACGTTCGCCATGTAAAGTGAAGGCTGGTGTAGGGGTGAGAAGGTGAAGGGAAAAAAGAGGAGGGAGACTGAGTGAAAGGCCAGGCAGGCTCTGAGGCTTACTGATGAGTTGTTTGCATGGTGAGCTCGGGGATTTCAGGACGTGACAGTGCAGGATGGCATTTAAGATTCACTATTGATTCAGAGAGAGATTAAGGAGCAGACCCGTCACCGTCTTCCACTGTGCTGGGTTTGGATAAAATGAAGATGCTGGCACATATTGAGAAAACTGAAGCGATCTCTCACAGTCAGAGAGGAGGGTTCTACCAACGCTACAGGTCTGAGTGTTGTCTATCTGTTTGTTAACAGCTCCTTCTGTCTCACTGTTTGCTCTCAAACGGTGGTAAAAAACCTCGCCTTCACTTGACCACCCTTTCGCCCGCTCCTCCTGATGAACGGACTCTGTCACCTTCCACTTTTTCTTCTTTATTTCCCCGTCCTCTCCAGCAGCTTTCTCTCATTTCTTTTGGTGCTGCCCTCTTCACCCTTTTAAAAAACTCTCCCCCTTTTCTTTTCCCTCTTCAATATCCTGTCCTTTCTTTCTTTTCTTTGCCCTGACCAATTCTCTTTCTGTATCCCTGCCCCTTTTCTCAGCCCCCTTAGAGCCACCCCCCCGCGCTCCTTTCTCCCCCTGCTTCCAACCCCCATTCGCCCTCTCTCCTTCTGCGCTCACTCTTCTTCTCCTGGCCTGTGTTGGCAAAGTGGCAGAAGGAGGCGGTTGGAGGCTGAGCTAGCTGCATTAGCCCCATGCATTATTCATGTGCCCTGCAGTCTGTGTGGGTCCAGGTCCTCCTCTGCCTTGTCTGAGGGACACATGGGCCTCGTGAAAGAGCTCTGTGTGTGGGACACAGGGCCCGATGGAGGAGCTACATGATGGGACTATCAGCTCCTTGATTTCTGCTCCCTCTTGTAGAAAAAAGCAACAAAGAATGAGCGTTTACATCATAGATCAACATTCAAGTGCAGAATAAAGTGGTTTCCTTAGATGAGAGCAAGAATGTTTATCCAGTGTTTTCTCCTAATTCAAATTTCTCCTTGTACACATCAAAGCCCTTCATTTCCACTGAAAACCAGAGTCTGGCTTAAGTTTCCAACATATCTGCCCTGATGTTCACATGAAAGACTTGTCCCCTTTTAATATCGGCCAAGATCGCTGTTTGCCTGGCAGTGGTTCTCTCTCCAGCTCATCGGGATTCACAGGCTGTCCTCTCTGCTTTTAGAGCACACCCAGTTAACTGAACTGTTAACTGAACTGGGCTGTATGAAATTTTAATTTAGACAACCAGACGGAGATGGAGTGCCTCCTCTCTCCATCGCCATGAGCTTTTGAGGCTGTGGAGGAGCAGAGAAAGTCAGTGGGTGAGAGCGAGAGAGCCTCTGGGACTAGAGGAGGAGCCTTTTTGGAAAACCACAACCAGATACTTGTTTCATGCTCACATCTGCTTTGCCTGACACACTTATGCGTTAACAGGAAAGTATACTGACTACTTGAGTAGAATTCACTTTCTTTTAATGAACAGGTTAAAAATTGAGCTAATAGAGGTTAATCAGTCCCAGAAACCGGTTGTTTCCTGCTTCATTCTAATTATAAACTTGTCACGTGGATGTGTTTTGACAGGTTTTCCTGATAGTGTTCTGCTCTGCACAGGTGGTGTAGCTCCAGATTGGCATCGGCCCTGATGATCGCAACAACCCCTCTCCACCTCTTTTCAACCTACCCAGAGCTGATGTCTCAGAGGGCGAGGGGGTATGTTTGTTCCGGAGTCTTGAAGAGACAAGCTACATCACGGTGAGTCACGCACTCTCTGAGTCTTCAGTGAAAATGTGAAACACCGGGCTGTTTGCTTTCTCTCCTTTTTTCGAGAACTATGAGGGAAGTGCAGTCACAGTGTATTTCCTCTTGGATCTGCTAGACTAGCTTTGCTAGTAAAGCTGCAAATGTGAGCTGCAGTTGATGATGGCCAAGATAGTAAACTCGTTGCTCCAGTGCTTAGGTTGTGTACAGTATGTATATAAAAAGTGCTGCCCACAGAGACTGTCACTGGAGATGACTACCTGACTCTGCAAGGGCAATGAAGGTGAGAGAAAGAGGGAGAAAATGACAGACAGAAGAGAGGAAGAATCATCTCACCCAGCACTTGAACGTGCACGTATTTGCCCATCCATACACCTGCACGTTTAACACATAGTGAATGTTTCTTCCAGTGATCAAAGGGGGAGCAGATGTAATACTAAGTGCACTTGGTTCCTCGTGTGCATTTGTCTACTACCTACTCTCACTCAGTCTTCTTCATCCATGTTTATCTGGCTCTATCCGGATAAGCAGGAGGTGCTAAAGTGACACCCTGACCAGTGCGGGCTTGTGCAGAGCGAGTACCTCTAATCCTCTTAAAGGACAAACCTACACTGCATGTTTTACTACCATTAAGGAGGGCTAGTCAGCGCTGGCCTCCATTCAGCAGAGACACTGAAGCAGAGGTGGGTGAATGTGAAGAAAAAGACAAATTCTATCCCATAGATGTACTTTTACACACAGTAGTAGTGCTTAATATCTACCGTTTACAGCACAACATGCATTGTTTTTACCATAACTCAGAAGTACTGTGAGGTAATTCCTACTTTAATGACTCATCCTTCCTCATTTATTGGACACAGGCATGTTTTTAAAATGCTAGGAACAAGTGTGGCAGACGGCCAGAGCCCTGCCTCTTTTAAGCTCTTCACAGAACTGTTGGCATGCAGCAGTTTGATCCATATTTCCGAAGGCCGGTCAGACCGAGCACTTGGATTGGTTTCCCCCAGGCCAAGGTATGGATCATTAAGTTTCAGGAGGGCATTCATCATCGTTAGCCAAACAGATCAGATCTAGGTCACTGCTTTTCCCGTCCCTGCCAAATTTTCCCCTTTGTTTTCCCTCTTTCAGTGGGTGAAACCGCCCAGCATGGCCACAAACAGCAGATGAAGTATATCACGAGGGAGTATCTGCTGAAAACAAAACTCGGCATAACTTAATTCCCCTTCATGCCGCAAATAAAGGCTGTCAAGTAATTATCAGGCGCTCTACAAGCCTCTTCCAGCTGCAGAGTATTGATTGGCTGAAAGAAACAAAACCCTTTTGAGGGGCGTAGTAAGTCTTGAGATTTGGTTTGCGTTCAGTCGAACTCCCCAGGGTTAAAATGAGCCCTCCATCGCTCTTTATGTCCTCACCACTGCCTTGTTTAAGGGGCAAGCTCAGCAGAAAATGTACAGCTGCAGAGTGGTGGTGTTGTGAACGTTCATACTGGGGCATACTTGTGAGTCCTTTTATTGTGTGATGATGCAGTTGTTGTTGTTTTTGAGAATCAGGTCATTTCGCCATGTTTTGCTGCTCATGCTGACTAAACTCCACCCCTTTCTCTCACAGCCTTTTTTTTTTTTTTTTGCTTTCTGCTCACACATCTGATTATTCATAGTGTTCGAGGCAGGCTGCATGCGGTGCATATAAAAAAGGGCCTAGATGCAAATGTAGCTGGAGCACAATTCTCGCACTGATTGCACAGTCCAAAAAAGACAGAACTGAGCTCTGAGCTCAGTTTCATTTATTCCAACCAAATCCTTTCATCTTCCTCCCACGTTTCCCTGTTCCTCTGCGTGTTCATGCACTTTTCTCTCTTTGTCGCTTCAGATAAATGGAGGAGCAGGAGCGATGCAGGAGCAGGTCTCCGGCTCGGAGGGCCAGTCGGGTGCAGCAGGTGGTGGGGACAATAATACGACGCACTCGAGAGTCACTTAGCAGGTACGGAATTAAAAGGAGTCTGAGCTGAGGGGGAAGATGTTTTTGTGGTGAAATCAGTGCAAAGGTGTTCAGAGGGTGGATTTTGATGGGAAGAAACTGAGTATGACAGAGTTTTAAAAAAATATATGCTTATATGCTAAAAACAACTAAACAATGTGTAAAGAGTGGAAGAGGAACTTTAAGCACTTCTAAGCCTGGTGCCAGATTCTTGAGTGACACAAAAATGAAAAATGTGGGAAGTGCAGGTGTGTATTTGTTCAGTATGCTGAGGAAATTTACTGACTCATTGTGAGTTAGCAATAGCTAAAAAAAAAAAGGGTAAACAGCACGTGAAAAACAAAAAGAGGCAAAAACTGAAGAAGAAGCTGCCTTTCTCAACCTGTTATGGACCCACTAAGACACAAACACAAACCAAACCTCCTCCCTACACCCACACACTGAGCCACATAGCTAAGTACATATTCAAACCCGAACTGCCTGACTGTCCCTCTCTCATACACAAACTTGTCCCACAGCAAACCACAAATATGTTTTCAAGAATCCTTCATATTTGGCTGTCCGCTAAGACTCATTCTCAGCAATGAACGCGTTGCTGAGAAATCCCAGTAAACTTCCTCCTGGGAATTCCTGGCGAGAAGGATATTCGTTATCGTCCCCGAGGGGAATTTCGGTTCACAAATAGTTGTCATCACTGTCATCGCACATCATAAATAAACGACAAGCATACATTAAATGCAATCATAAAGAGAGCTGCAAATGCACTGAAAGTCTGCAGTTAAAAACTGTGTACTACCCTGGCCTGCAACTTGTTTAGCAATCCAACAGCTGACAGAACAAATGATCTCATATATTTATTTGCTTTAGTCCTCCCCAGCCTTCTCATATGACTTGTGTTGAAGCTTTGCATAAAGAGGGTGTTGAAGGCCTGCCAGAGAGACCTTTGCCCTGTGACGGGGTCTTAGTTACCAAAACACAGCGAAGATCTATCAAGTTGGTGCAAATGATCTTTCACAATATTCTCCCGGCCTGTTTTTGTTAATCATGTTGAGGTTGTAAAACGCACAGATCACACCAAAACCTAAACCGATTCAATAAAAGTGTCAATGTCTGATGTGCCTTTGTGAAAACGTCAGACATTTTTTCATTCAAAAGTAAACCTATTTCCAGGGTGCATTCAAGCCAAGGATGTATGTTAATCTGTTGGTGTCATTTAATCAGTGTTAATAACAGATACAGCTTCTGAAAGGTGATTATATGATACTTTTCTCTAATTAGTTATAAATTAAGTGTATTTAATAATAGTGAACAGACAACAACATGTCACCTTGAATTCTATATCATTTTGAGATTCACTTTGGTTCATTTTGACCTTCCATTGCCTTGAAAATGTTCAAGGTTAAAGGTTCAAGGTAAATGTACACCACAGTATTTATTGTGACTTGAATAAATGCTGTTATTTTACACCTGTAAAGTGAACTTAGCATGCTTTTCCATTATCTTTGGTTATATATATCCTCTTATGATGGTTAATGTTCATTTAGACAAGTTTCCAAATAAAGAGGTTAAATAGAGAGTATTCCTGACCTGAATGATCAAAACACTCGATTTTAGAAAGTGTGGGTGTAGCAATCCCACTTTTGTGAGGAACAGCCAATCAGAAGAAAGTTGACTTAACTGTAGAGAAGCTAAAATAAGTTGTCTTCAGACAGTGAGTGAAATGAGAGGCTGCATATGGCCTAAAATATATACAAGCTGTCTGAACTGTGGAGCCGGAAATACTGTGTGACACCGCAGAGAAGGTTCGCTTTACAGGATTTCTGTGCTACGTTTTAATCAGCAGTCACTGTGGAACAAATAAGAAACGTGATCTGGAAGAGCAAAAAGTAAACTTTCTCCTCTTTGAATACACTGCTTGAATACATAGTATCTCTTCATGGCTGTCGTCGCCTCCAGTTGGATAACCCATCACCCTGTCTGACTTCCTCAGAGAGCGGTTGCTAGGCGATGGGAGGTCGCAGCGCTCCAACAGTCTGTCCAATCAGAACTTCCAGGCCAAGCTGACATTGCAGATTACCAGGGACCCGGTCCTGGACAGCAGCACTGGACATGGCTTCACCCTCACCACAAACGCACCCCTGCTGGTCAGGGACATCGCCACAGGTACATCGGCCGTGCAGTGGCTGTGAGTCAGCGTTACCAAATTGCCACCTGCTTTATGCAATTTTCGCTGCATGCAGCAAGCATATTTACACTTTACCACTCTCTCTCTATCTCTCTCACACACACATAACACGCACACACACATTCCTGGCATTCAGGCCCCGGGGCACGGTGCCAGAGAAGCCACGAAAACAACAGAGCCACCTGCTCATCCTTTCTAAATTCAATCACTTTTCATTTATGCAACTTTGATGGGGGATAGAGAGACTGATAAAGAGAGACAGAGTGCAGGGGGGAGAGAGGGAGAGATGCTGATCCATTACTTTATGTCTATCCTGTAAAATAAGCTGATAAATGCAGTGAGGAGGGTCCCACCCTGCCACTAGCGCTGTAGCTGCTGCCAAGGAAAAGGAGAGACGAATGAGATAGGGAGAGGGAAGTGATAACAGAAGACAAGATTTAATTGAGAGAGAAGATGCCAGCAGGAAGACCCAGAGGGAAATACACAACCAAAGTGCAAACATGGCTAAAGAAAGCAAAGTAATGAGTGTGAAAGTGTACAGAAAGTAGAGAGGGGATGAACAGTTGGTGACACTTAGGGATTGGGAATAGTCAGAGAGGCCATGTTGGTAGATGCTGAAGGAAAGTGAAGGATGATGAAGTAGGGTAGAAAGAGGAAGAGGAGGAATCGCTATTATGAAAGCTTAACAGGAGGGGACTTTGGCTTTTGGGTGTGTGTGTTTATGTGCAAAAGCTTGCCATGCTGTACGGCTTGCCTTCAGTGGGTCACAAATCAGGGACAGACGGGGCTTTGCCAGGCAGACTGGGTGTGTGAAAATTTGTGGGAGCATGTGTTTACGTGCACAGATGCTCAGCGTGTCTGCGTGCTTGTGTGTTAGAGTAAGCTGAAACTGCTGTGCCTCAGTCGTGCTCGCTTGCCTGAAGACAAATGAGTATAAATAGCTACAGAAAGCAGAGCCGAGCCGGGCTGGAAGACACCCAGAATAACCGTAACCCTTCACGTCCCGGAGAGCTCAGCCGAACGCTGTTGAGTCAGCCATATTGAACAAGCACGTGTGTCATTCTGTGTGTGTGTGTGTGTGTGTGTGTGTGCGTGTGTGTTTCCCTTTGTCTCCACGTACGCAGCTGTGGGTTTTTTTGTTTTATGCAAGCACTCACTCTTTTCATTGTGTGAATTTGTGCATCTGTGTGTGTGTGTTGATGGGAATGCGTGTGTTTAGGAAGTCCTGCAGATGGGATACTATTCCCAGGGGACCAGGTGCTGCAGATTAATGATACAGCGATGGAGGATTTGAGTGAAGAGCAGGTGGAAAATGTCTTAAGGTGAGGAGATCCATCTATCTACAGTTGTGGTCAGAAGTTTCCATGCACTCATCATGGGCATGAATCTCAGGGTAATTTGGGGCTTTTAATATTTTATTTGAACTTTTCTTTTTCCAGGGTTGAATTAATGCTTTTAAAGACTTTTGAAAGCAAGAATTGGGTGCAAAAAATCGAATTTATTTATTTATTTACAGGATCAGTGGTATCCACACAGGCTCAAATATATAGCCCAACTAATATTTGGTTAAATGTCCCTTCTGCAACTTGTACTTCAACGAGATGCTTTAGGTATCAATCCACAATCTTCTGGCATGATTCTGGATATTTGACCAGTCTTTTTGGTAGAGTTAATATAAATGGTCTGGTTTCCATTCCAAAACTACTTTTGAAGTGTTTGGCTTGTCTATGTGGGCAGCTGCCTCTTTCTTGGTCGCCACCCTCTTAGTTCAAGGTGTTTCAGCAGTTATCAGTTCAAGATTGAGCCTTGGGTCTTGGGTTTTTCCTGAACATCCTCACCAATTTCCTCTTGTTTGAGAGTGACAGTTTGGGTCTTCTTCCAGACCAAAGTGGTGACACATCTGAATAATTTGTACTTATGATCGATGATTGTTTAGAAATCTTTCCAGCTTGTGTAAATCTCAAATTCTCCTTCTTAGAAAACTGTAGATTTAAGGGACTGTATGTGTATAATTCAGCCTGTATGTGTACTTTCGATTATGTGTAAATTAGAGAAAATTCAAAATAAATTCTATTCTCGTTTTTCACAGTCATTAAAGAAATCAATGACAATTATTTCAGTTGTTTTCTGGGATTTTGACGCTGATTCATGTGTGACTGCGGGTGTAGAAGGCTTAGTGAGTTAGCGGTAGAGGTCAGAGCAGAAGATGCTGACTTAATAGCTGAGCAGAAAGGTTATGATCCCTCCTCCGTCTGTGTGAATGAATGCTTCTTCTCTGTGTTCAGGAACTTGGAGGATTGTATCAATGTGACTATCCTGCGGCACATGACAGTGAGTACAAAGAAGACATTAATGAGCTCCTCACTACACAGTCTGTATGCCATCGCTCATTTAAACATAAGCTGTCTGTGTGCTCCCAAGCATGTGACTCTTAGCTTGCCTCTTCTGAATGGATTAAGCACTTTACATTGTGCTGTGATGTATGTATCGACCGTCTGAGTACAGCTCTGAATGTTTGCATCTTAAAGCCTGCTGGCGTCAGTGTTACTCATGTGTGTCTTAGCCCATGCTTCATCCTTCATGTACAGTAATGGTGCTGATGTGTGTGTGTGCTACAGAATCCCAAGTCATCCATTATGTCAGCAGAGAAGAGAGCTCGTCTGAGGAGTAATCCAGTTAAAGTGCGCTTTGCAGAGGAGGTGGTGGTCAATGGGCACACTCAGGTGAGAAAACCTTATCTGATACAGAAGGAGGCTGCCAAACAAAAAACAAGCATTTACTGTAAGGCTACAAGCAGCAGTCAATTCACAGTCTTCCACATAATGAAATATTCTTCATTAGGGCTTATGGGCTAACATTTCTTGCAATCATTTAATATTTGATCTTTTCTCATCTGATATCGATTCTGTCTGACCACATCTCTCACTTCTTTCCACCAGGGAAACTCTCTTCTCTTCCTGCCCAATGTTCTGAAAGTCTATTTAGAGAACGGACAGACCAAGGCTTTCAAGTTCGACAACAACACCACCGTCAAGGTATGTAATAAACAGGATTACCGGCCTAGTTAGAAAGTTTTACCCGAAAAGAGCATTTAGAGCTTTTACTTGGTGGCTTCATTGAGTGGCTCCATTGTATAGTACGTTACACGTTCGCCTAACCAGCAAAAGGGGGGTGTGATCCTGGGGCAGGAGGAATGGGGCAAATCCATCCAGGGTTATGTTAGAAATGGCCATATCAAACACAAAATTACCTGCTCTGGAAGCCCTCGTGAATAGGAGAACAGCTGAAAGTAGCTCGCTCATTGGCCTGATGGACTTGTTTATCTTTTGATAGATATAGTAACTAAGTGACCCAAGAGATCCCTACATCATTCATGGTTGACATTTTTATTACATAACAGCAGTGTGCCCCAGTAATAAGAAGCCTGACAACAGCTATTTTTAGCGTAGTCTTGAGAAATAGTTCTTCTGGGTTTATAAAGGACTTTTTCACTCATATTCAGTCTAGTCCTTGTGTCTTTACACACAACAGAAAATTTGGAATAGACCAATTTCAAATTTGAATTTCAATCTATGAGAAGATAACACAGTTTGACTGGCATAAAATAGTATTTTTGCACCAACAAAAAAAACAATTAGCCAAAACCAAGGCATATCTCACCATGGTGTGCAGTGTGCCCTTAAAGAAACTGAGGAAACAGGGTCTTAATCTACTCATCTAGCCTCATCAGAAATGGTCTCAGTAGAAGGATGGCTGTCAAGAAGGCATTTATAAGGAAAGGAAACAGGGAGAAAAGACTGAGGTACACCAAACTACACAAGAGCTGGACCGAAAACCAGTGTCCAAGTTTTAAATTTTTGGTTCAAATGGTCCTCATATGTATGGAGGAGGTCAGGAGTTACAGCCATCTGTAAACTGTTAGCAATTAGCAATGGTGAATGATCCCAAATACACTGCCAAAGCATACCTCGATAAAACAACACACAGTTCAAGTCTATCAGTCATGGATTGGCCTCCCCAGAGCGTGGACCTCAACAATATTGAAGCAGTGAGGGATCATTTTGACAGAGAACTGAGTAAAATGAAGCCAACATCCAAAGAACAGCTTTGAATGTTTTTCAAGGAGCCTGGAGAACTGAAGACTACTTAAACAAATTACAGGAAGGCCTACCTAAGAGATTTCAGGCTATGGTGAAGAATAAGGGTGGTCACACCAAATACTGACTTTCAAGCTCATTAGAACTGTATAAACTCTATTGTTGCCCTATATATGGTATGTTTCATGTATGTTTGCATACATAACAATAAATTGCTGCGCCTACTTACCATTTTCCTTGCAACATATAAAGAAATGACTCAAGACGGTCCTCTTATGAGCCAATAAAAAGCCCACACAGTTTCTTAAAACCACCACGAGAAGCTGTGAGATGCTTGGTAGGACCAGGTGGGACTATTTTGAAATTAAGTGCACCAGAAGCTAAGGTATGATTTCCCCCAAAGGTGTCACAGTGTGGGTTGGCTATAACAGTTGTAGTTCATTGGGAGATACTGTTTCTGAAAAAGAAAATTATGAAAAGGTCAGTAAGTCACCATCAGTAGGTACATGCTTCTGTCTTTATGAGCAGGGTATTATTTTTACAGCAGCTTTTGTATTTCTGTTTGTTCTCCCAGCTGAAGCAAATCTGAGACAGGGAATCAGCTTTGTCCCTTTGCCCTCAGTGGAGTGGGACGAAACATGTTTGTCTAAGAGGTGTGAGCTGTTGGTTTTTTTTGTCATTCCAGGACATTGTTCTGACCCTGAAGGATAAGCTGTCCATCCGGGCCATCGAGTACTTCGCCCTGGTGCTAGAGCAACAGTACAGCATCACCAAACTGCTGCTACTGCATGAAGATGAGCTCATTCAGAGGGTGAAGGAAAAGAATCTATGTGGAGATATCTCGTAGATATGTATGAAGATTAAATGCTACAACTTTCCACCTCTATCTTTTGTCTTCACCAGGTGGTGCAAAAGAAAGACTCCCACGATTACAGGTGTCTGTTCAGGGTTTGTTTCATCCCCAGAGACCCAGGAGACCTACTGCAGGATGACCCCTCTGCCTTTGAGTACTTCTTTTTACAGGTCAGAGAAGCTCCTTTATTTGTTGTCACCATTACGGTCATGCATTGTTTATCTCAGAGACTTTTGCTCTGAATTATTTCGCAATTAGACTTTGGTCCTTTCTCTGCGTATGTACAGAAAATAAAACTTTGTACCCACTTTATGCTGAGTGTGCTCTGAAATTCTTCGAAAATATTGCAAAAGTAGCTCTGAAGTCAACATGCAGCCCCTCCTTATAGCTTCATGGCCTTATCCCTATAACACGTTGCTCACATTCTTTAGTCCTTCTTTTGTACAAAGCAGTTACATACTTGCTCTGATGATGCTAAGTCTTGATATTGTTACATGTGGCCTGTGCGTGTTTTTGTTGCTCACTAAAGCAGTGGAGAGTGCCGCTTATGTCATGCCAATTTATTGTTTCATTGTCTTCGCCGATTGTGTTTTCCCTGTCAGTGTCAGGTCGCTGGTTTACTTACAGATATGCTGATGAGCTACGTGCTTTGCAATGTCTGACATGCAGAGTATGCTGGGACAAAAATCAGGTCACTGTAAGGTGCGTGTGTATTATGTAATACTAAAACTGTGATTCTTTCTGCCGGCAGAGTGTTGGCGATGTGCTACGGGAGCGTTTCGCGGTGGAGATGAAGTGCAACACTGCACTCCGCCTGGCAGCCCTGCACATGCATGAGAGACTAGATAGTTGTGGACAGACCAGAACCTCAGTCAAGAGTATTACGTGAGTCATACGCGTGGGAGAGTTTCCGTTTAGGGGTCACACTAGTAGGACACTGTAATTGTGGTACTTCTCATTATAGGTTTTGAGTAATAGGGCCTTGACATTTTTTCACTGCTGCAATTACTGTGATTTGTCTAGGATGAGGCAGCTCACTAAATGCCTAATCTATTAATGTGATGGGAGAGGTTTAGTGGGTGTGTGGAGGATATTTGCCCCATTACTTGAGAGTGGAAGTGTCTCAAAATGCAAAGCAAACATCCATTTTTTCTAAGGATTGCGGCCTGGTTGTCATACATTGTTGTACATTGTATATATTGTAGTACAGAGCAGTTATCTGTACATTTCTATACTTATCCCACAAGTTATAATTGTGAAGACAACTTGCAATTAATGGGACCGAAAGCTGAACTATGACTGTTTAGTAATATCTACTGGTAGTGTTTTTTTTTTTTGGTTTGTTTTTTTAAAGAAATAAAGCTCAGTGAAATTTCTGAATTTAACTTCCGATATTAAGTGTATCTTTGTCCTTACATTACAACCTCTTTTCACTTTTCATGCATTTCTTTGTAACATTTTATTCACTGAGTACTTTCATGCCTCTGCAAATGTGGCGTTGACAGGAAGGAGTTCGGCTTGGACAGCTTCATCTCTCCTACGCTGCTGGGCAACATGAGAGAGAAGGACCTGAGGAAAGCCATTAGCTACCACCTCAAAAAGATCCAGTCCCTGCTAGAGCCACGCCAGAAGGTAAATGGATAAGTGGAAGGAAAATGTGAGAGGTGTAAAGAGACACATAGTGACAGCAGTGACTTCAGGCTACGTTTTAGCTGAGATGTATGAGGACTGCTAATCTTCCTAAGGTTTAAAGCGGTATATGGAAGAACAGCAGCTTGGAGGAAAAATAGATGCTGAGTAGGAGGCTAATTAAAAAGGTGAATAGTCAGTATCAGGCTTGGGTAATGCCACCCACCGCCTTTTTTGTCTGTCTTGCTCATACTGTATATCTTCTCTGTGGTGTTATAGGTAATATCTGCCAATCAGGCTCGTTTGGCCTACCTCACTCAGCTGGGAGAGCTCATTTCTTATGGGGGACGGTCGTACACAGCCACAATGATGGTAAGGGCTAAAGGCCTCATGTAAATTGGTGGATCCATTTGCTAAATGATGGAAATTGCAACCAATTAAAATGACTGCAACACTTATTTTCTTTCTTCCTTCTCCTTCCAGCTTCAGGACAGGGAAGTGCTGGTCACGCTGCTGGTGGGAGCCAAGTATGGGATGAGTCAGGTCATCAACCACAAGCTCAATGTGATCTCTACGCTGGTCGAGTTCAGCAGCATCAGCCGAGTGGAGCTGCTCACGGAGTCGGACAAAGTCAGCTTGCTGCGCATCTCGCTGCATGACATGAAGGTGAGGGGGCCTTAGGTGGGATATACATGTTCATCGAGTTGCAAGGCTGTATTATTCGTAAACATATAGACGTGGCACAGATGTTCATTCACCACACTATATTCATGAACATGACACTAAATATAGGTCAAGCATTCTTTCTCTACTATACATGCGATATATAACAGTATACAGCCTAAGGCTAGCTATATATAATGTTAATTCATGAATGCAAAGGTGACTGTCTCTCCTTCTTTCTCCCACTCCATCGCTTTTCCCCTCTTACCCTTTGGCTTTAAACACTACTACTTTACCTTTTTTCTGCAATACCCTCCCCCTCTCAGCCATTTGCCTTACTGATGGACTCTCTGGCAGCCAAAGACTTAGGGTGTCTGCTGGGAGGCTACTGCAAACTCCTGGTGGATCCCAATGTCAACGTCTTCCGTCTGGGGCGCCCAAAAGTGAGGGTGCACCGGATTCCTGCTGAAGAAGGTGTGTGTGGGAGGTTCGCCGTAATAGAGGGCGTGTGCTATGAATCCCTATCAAGTGAGCAAAAACTGTTTCACTTAAAACTTATGACTTTCTGGCTTTGGCCTTTTTGATAGCCTTTTTTTCACCTCACATGTTTATTTATGTCACCATCCAGTACGGATACGGATAAAAAAAAAAAGATAAGATGTCATATTTTTTTTTTACTATCAAAAATTAAATATTATTCTCCTTTATGAATGCACTAACACAGCTTTCGCAATGCTTGTCTGGTGTTTGTGCACTTTCTGGGTTTTATTAGGTTATGTGTCTCGCTGCTGCAGTGACTCAGACGACTCAACAGACGAGGATGACCCGATGGATTCTCAGAATTACAAACGCCCAGACCCAGCAAGTCAGGACTGGGAAGAGAGGAGAAGAGAGGAGGAAGAGAAGAGGAGAGAGGAAGAAAGAAAAGAGAGAGAGGAGCACAAAGGCAAACAGGAAGTGAGGATAATAGTGACAACAGAAGGTAAAGGAAATGAGAGTCCAGATGAAGGAGGAGCAACAGGAAGTGGTCTGCATAAATTCAGTGTTATGGATGAAGAAATGAACCTGGACTCTTCCTGGTACCACACTGACCTGCGAGTCACCAGCAGCTTCTCCAGCTTGTCCAGCAGTTCCTTGAGCACTGCACTTGAGGAGAGCAGTGCTGCCAGCAAATCCAAATCTCGCCTTCACGGGCCGCACGTAGGCGAGGATGTTCCGAGTTTTGATGTTCACCACCCCTACCTCCTGGAGCCAAAACGCCATCAAGGGCCACGTAGACCCACTAACCTCAATTACCGTGGGAATGACAACTCTTGCCTCTGCTTTGCTGACCTCTCCAAGTCTGACTTCCTACCAAGCCCGCCTGGGGCTACCAGTGATGACGATGATGACGATGAAGAGGAGGAAGATCGGGGCGCTGAGACACTTAGACGTATTTCTAAGATTCCTAGTTCAAGAGATTTGAGAATGATTGACAGCATACCCTTTCAAAGATCACCTATTAAAAGAAAGAAAAAGACCCCTCCCAAAGTCCCAGTAAGAACAAGTTCAATTCCTGGGAGCAAAGCAGGAAAGGCTGAGAACCGCCTGTCAAAGGATGAAGACAGCATGTTTCTGACACCTTCACCCAACCCCAAGCCGAATCTTTTGGTCAAAGACAATGTCTCAGACTCTGAGGATGAGTTTTTCGATGCACAAGAGAGATTTACTCCTCCAGTTCCTGATCTCTCAGGTTTGTTTACAGCATGCTTGATAACTTAGTCCCTTGATGGTATATTTATCTGTGTACTGGTGACATGTGACAGCACTGTTACTACGATATGTTGAAAGGAGACGGGACAATTGTGAGAAGATGTGTGTCGGTCCATTAATACCTGTCTTTCTGTTGTTTTCATTTCATTTTTCTCATTCTCTCACAGATGCAGAGCTGGCTGACCGACGCAATGCTAATCGTTTGAGTGGAACCTGGAACAGTCTTCCAGCTGTCTCGCGGAAAGAGCCGTCATCTCCACTTGCCAATAAAAGCCAATCCTATAAAGCCAAGAAAGAAGCGGATACACTTAAAGCCCCTTCGAATCAACTCAACAACCAGCAAGGCAGTCCTTCAAAGCCATCACAGAAACCTGATGTTAAGGTCAAACCACCATTGGCACCGAAACCACAGCTGCCTCCCAAACCTCAGATCATTCCTCCCAAGTCTCCCCAGCATGGGAGATCATATGCCCAATGCAATGGAGATGCCTCTGGACGTTTGTCGTCGGAACTCCTTGAAATGGAGCCGGACACCATGGAGTTCAAGTCGGTCACATCAGGTGGATTGCCTATGTCGTCATCCTTGATCACAGCAGTGCGATATAGCAAGCAATCACTATCACAAGATGAAGAAAAGACAAAAAGACAGGAAAGCAGCACAAAACAAAGTAAAGATCTAGAAAATGGAGCGCGTGCTGTTTCCAAAAAAGAAAAATACGTTCCTGATGAATCGCAAATTCCTGAAGCTGAGGGGAAAACCAGTGGAACTGACCTGCTAACAAAGAGGCCAGCAAGCCTAACCCCAATCACTCACTCTAATTCAGGAACTAAGCTAACAATACCCCCTCCAGTGCCTCCCAAACCCACTTCACCAAGCAATCTTCACCCCTTATCGCTACCTGCCAGCTCTCCCGTCTCTCCTACTGATCCAAGCAAAGGGATCTGTAAGGATGGCGTCAGTACTCCAAATGGAATTCACCCTTGGAGCAGTCGTAATGGGAGCATCCAGTCAGGACCTAGAAGGGTCTCTCTGAGCCACGAGAGCCTTTCACCCAAAAATACAGATGCACCTCTTACAGTTACCACCTCGCTGACCTCAACCAATTCTAAAGGGGGCCTAGAAAGCAGAGAATCTGGAAGATCTGGTTCAGGATCTGACCTGAGAACCAGCTCCTCCAGTCTAGGAGGCAGGCTACCTGCCTCAGCCCTGAGAGGGAAGATTCAGGCCCTTCCTTGGTACATGACCCGTTCCCAGGAGATATTAGGAACTCTGGACTATCCGTCCACTAGTTCCATAAATGGCGACACATCTGGATTTGGCTCTGGTTTGTCTGTAGCCAGTGGCTTATCAGACCTAAACAAAACTCCTGTCAAGGACAAAGAGAGTGTGCCCTCAAAATCAGGAATCAAAGGGACCATTTTAGATGATGGAGCTGAAGTTGTCATAGCAACAATCAAAGAGGCCCAAGAATTGTCGGCACACATGAAAAAGGCCAGTGGAACAAACGGCTCCCACCCTAATCTAAGTTTTAGAGAAAATATTGCACGTAGCAGCAGCGTTTCATCAGAGCAGCCTCAATCGCGGTCTCACTCAGCAGTCGGGTTGGGAGGTGTGTCCAGCATGGAGATTGGAGGTGACTCACCGACCTCCTCACTGGCAGACAGCACTCCTCCACAGCAACACCGGGAGGCTTGTGGCTGCCGCACTGTTTACGCCAACTGTTTCAGCGGAGACACAGAGGATGGCGTTAGCTTTGATGATGAGCTCACAGTTTATGAGTTCTCCCGTCGCATACGCCCCAAACCTGTCCAGCCGGCACCTGCCCCATCTCCTACAACAACACCCTCTCTCAAACCCAATATTCTTTCACTGCTGAGGGACAACCCTCGCCCGCTGTCTACTTTCTCTACGACCTCTTCTGAACTCAGTCCTCTTGTTTCGTGTCCAGTTTCACCCACAACCTCATTCGGCGGCTCGCTTCGTTCCCTAACTAACAAGAATTATGGTGGGCTGAAAGGCGGCTTTGCCTCTCTGCGTCACGATATAGATCAGCTTCTTCTGGTCTTAGAACGAGGTGCACCTGAGCAAACAGAGCAAACATCATGCCAAGATGCAAAGCAAGATAGCACAAAGTTAAAAGTAGGGCCTGATCTAAATCATAACGGAACCGAAGACAGCCCTGCCCCAGAAGCAAGCCTAAAGTGTAATAGGATGACACCTGCTACCATGACAGAGGCCGAGAGGAGTCTTCTTCAGGCTGAGGCTCGACGGTTAGCATCTGGATGTCAACGAGCCACGCGGGTAGGCTGGGCGCCCGATGAAGCCCTGCGTTCTTTATCCAATAGTTTTAGTGCCCTGGTACAGCTGTCGGCAGCCTGTCTGCAAACAAACCCTTGCACTGGTTGTGACATGTGCCATAATACAAATCTGGTTCAAAAAGTTGAGGACAATGATGGCCAAGAGGCCATGGACAAGCTGAAAGAGATAGTGGGGCTGTATCGGGAGTTTGTTGGGGCTGTTGAGACAGCTGGAACTGGCGCTGGGGCAGTGGGTAGGAGCGGGGGCGTCAATGGGACCGTACAGGGTCAGGGAGAGGGCGACGGGGTAAGGCTGCTAGCCAAACGATGCACTGTGCTCATCTCGTCTGTATTCGCACTCACTCAGCTCTTCCGGACACCCACGGTAGAGCCCTCGGACACACCCGGACATGTACCTCTAAACTTTTGATCTGTGAACTTTTACCCACTAATAACGCACTGACTCTAGAGGTGAAGACAAGAAGAAGCAGCACAGAGCTATCTGGTGTGTAACGCTTGTGTTCTTGTACAGTAAGTGCCATGCACACCACACAACACCACAGCACACACACACCCACATTGAAACACAAACACCAAACACACCCCTAAAACGAAGCGATGTCACTTCGTTGTTAAACCTCTCCTTGGACGCATACGGACTATGCATTTGTACATATGAATTTTATAATTATCTCATAATTCTCTTATTTTATGATACAATATGTGTATGTATGTAATGATGAATTACCCATGTATGTATTTATGTATTTATTTTTACAATATTTGCACCATGATCTGTGACTGGCAGGTCTCTGGTGAGGAAAAAAAGAACTATGGATGTCACTGGAACTTTTTTTTCCCCCCTCCCCTTTGAGACAGTATTACGTTATCTTTTTGCTGCTTTAAATATTGCTCCACTCCACAAGGTGTAATCTGTAAATTGTCATTTTCTACGTTTATGATTACGGTACATTTACTGACAAACTACAGGAACTATTCTGTATCTCACTTGCGAAATATAGTAATAAATGATTTGTTTTATATGTGCAGGTTTTGCACCTTTGTAAGGATTTAGTTTTTCAACATTACAGTCACGACTATACCATTACACAGCAGGGAGAGCACTTTTGACTGTTACAGATTGCACCTTTTTTTGAGACATGTACCCTTGTGTAAACTGTTTTTCTGCCCCTTCCCGGTCCATACCTGACTTTGTGTGAATGCTTCCTGGATATAACCCCATTCCCAATCGTATGCAGTATTATAATATTACTCTAGTTTTCATCCAAAGGACACTACATACAGTATATATTTTCTGGGAATGTGTGGGTGAGGTCCACCAAAACAGGGGACCTTATTTATGTAGTTTTTTTTTTTTTTTGACGAGGCACAAGAGTGACTGTTAAACTCTATCCAGATGTAGCAAAGATCCAAAGTCTTAAAACACTGAGCCACAACTGTTCCCTGCCAATGTTTCGTCTTTGGGTGCACCACTTTATTAACTGAGTACTGACTGATGGATGGGCTGATGGTCAATGCTGGGGTCAGAACTGTAGATATACATTTATATCTCTGTGTCCTATTCTGTCCCTACTTTAGTTTATGGCTATGCAAACATAAACCCCTCAACCCCCCCCCCACATACTCTGTTGTTTTTTTGCGCTAACATTAAAAACAAACAGCAGCTGCATTATGTTTGCTTGAATATAATGGATGCTTTCTTTGTTTGGAATGTTGGTTTTTGTCTTGTTTCTGGAAAACTTTCTGCATTAAGGAATGCAACATTTTGCAAGGTTGCATGGCATTAGCATTTTGTCAATATAAAGACTTCTGTCTATACTGATGTCTGTGAACTTTCAGTAAAAGGACTACGTTGCTCAATCGGTTTGCTGATGTACAGTGTTCACTTATCAGCTCCTCCATATCACATGACGCCATCCGATTTGAAGGATTTACTCGAGCCACCTACAAACAACAGGAAGCTAATTAAGCCAAATCAGTCAGCGGTTGCTTATTCAAATATGATAAGGGGATTAGCTGAAATAAAGACTGCTTAAGTGCTGAGAAACAGCTGGTGAGGGGAAAGGTAGTGTATTTAATCTTCCAGACTGATGACTGAGGGAAATTTTGTTAAGGTAGTTGTGCAGCGTCCATCACCGTGCTAACGTCAAGACGTTGTGTCTCAGGAGGGTCTCCTGTTGTTCATTAGGCTGGCTCCATCAGTAAAGAGTGCCTGTGTCACTAACTCTTTCCTGTACGGGAACATTGTATGAACAGCATTTCATAGTCAGAGAGTCCACTGTGTTTCTACAGAAGCAGCCACTTTTCCATCCCCACATAAAACATGAAGTTAATGTACCAAGAAATGTATTGTTTGGGAATAAATGAAACACTGACCTTAATAATGCTGTCTTGAATATTTGGGAACTGTGTGTACTTTCATTTACCAACAAGCAATTCATGAAGCTCCATTCACAAATATCGAGTGTTATTTATGAGATCATAAGAGATATCACTGCACACCGATATTCAACCCCATGGTGAATATTTCACTTCAGCAGATAAACTAATATTTATGAATCTCATAGCCTCTGTACCATCTTTACGCTCCAACTCCAAAAGTCTTGGGTCACCCCTTATTTCTTTATATGTTGCAAGGAAAACTAAATTGGTGCAACAATTTATTGAAATGTATGTAAAGATACATGAAACATACAGCATAAAATGCAAAAACTGAGTTTGCACAATTCTAGTGAACTTGAAAGTCAACATTTGGTGTGACCACCTTCATTCTTCACCATAGTGTGAACTCTCTTAGTAGAGTAAATTCTTTAAGTAGTGTTTAGGAATGGTTCTCCAGGCTTCTTGAAGAAATAGCAAAGCTATTATTTGGCTATTAGGTGCCTTTTGCTCCCTTCTGTATCAAGATGATCCCACCCTGCTTCCGAAAACGATTGCTCAAGAGCAATATAACAAATCTGGTTTATTGGAAGCATAGTATAAAGAAATGAGGGGTGGCTCAAGATTTCTGCACAGTACAATAACGAATGTAGATTGTAGGATTGTTTTTTCAGTGTTAATTTCCTACAGTTTCAAGATGGCAGTGTTTGTCTATGCATGAGGCCACCCCCTCCCCTTTTTGCTTTTTTGGTACTGGTCTTCAAACTATGTGGAGAGCCAATTAGCAGAGTTCAAGCAATATTTCTGCTACTATGATTAAAAAGGATTTTTAGATAAATTTGCACATAAAAAAAAGTTAGATTTCATCTAAGACAGCAATCAGAAGGACACTTGATGTGGTGCAAAGAGAGCTGAGAGGCTTTGAAGCAACAGCAGTTCAGCGCTTCTTGATCTAAAGTCCCTCTGTCAGATTGTCCTTAATCTGATCATCATCTGCTGTCAGACTTCTTGACACAGTAAGCTAGAAAGTGGTACTCTGTGCTGACCCAAAACTCAGTCTCACAGTGCTGACTTGATGTCATTTCTTTTAAACAAAAATCCTTGACAACGCTTACACACATTGCATAAGTGTTGTCACTTACAAAGAAGGGATTATAATTAATAAACGGGAAAAACAGGTCGAATAGTTTACACATTATCATTGTATGACTCATAGGTACAGAGCAATGAGGTCACAAAACAGACACAAAAACTGTTTCATAACATATGTGTGTCTCAGTTACGTAAAGGAAAATCTTTCTTCTCTCTAGGTGAAAAAATGACAGTCAGCTCATTTTTCCTGAAGTACTTCTGTATTTATTCAGGTTTTAACTGAGATTTAAAACATTTTAGCACAATTACTAACGTGACATTTCATTTTCGTAGTGATCCAGAAACTTTTGCTTCAGGAAAGTGATAAACAGCGTTATTTGATACACTTTTGAAGAGGATATTAGAATGAAAAGACTTGAAGAAATAGGCCGAGTGATCCATTTACATGGCAGCTTGAGCTTTTTGTGCCACTGAACATTACCCTCTGTCCCCGTCTTCTCTCTGTGCCACTACTATGAAGCCTCTCTCTCAAGTGTCCAAGCAGCATGCCTTTCCTCTTCGGGTTGTCGAACTCAGCAAGAGCTGCAGTATGGTGACTGCAGCTACTCAAGCTTGAAATCTGAGCCCATTATGTCAACAGATGTTACAGACAGAGGGGAGAGCAAGCGTGACAAGAGAAGATATTAAAGTGAGAGCAAAAGGGGGGAGAGATACATAAATAAAATAAATGGCAGTAAGTTTTAAAAAAGGAAACAACCAGTGAGGAACATTTGTCTCATAGCCAATAAAAGAGCAGTAGAGATGCAGAACTCAACCACAGGTCTTCTTCTCCTATTTGCCATCTTACACATCAAGACTGTTTTTTTCCCTCCCTGTATTTCAATTAAAAAAAAAAAAAAACTGACAAAAGAGTACACCACAGGGCACTTATCAAAACACACACAAAAAAAAACAAAAACAAAACCACAAAACCAAAAAAAGGAAAAGAAAAAACCCCCCCACACACACTGGCAATAGCACTTCAGAAAATAAATCAAGACAAAACATTATTTAACAAAAATGTCAATTAACTGACTCACGTGTGAAAACTGAGACCTTTTTGTTGTAAAAAATAGAAAAAAGGGAAAAAACTTCTTATTTCTTTGTTCCTTTTGTTGAAAATTCCTAGACTTTGTGCACTGCTAATACTGATTTCAACAGTCACTTAAACATTTGCCTTCTTATGTCTTACTTCAATCTGAACTGGTGAGCACAAGAACAATGCTCTAAACATGGGGAAAAAAGCACAAAACTGTTTAAGTGGCAGAACTTATCTTCACAGGAGGCGGCGCTCTTGGTCAAACAAACATCACAGCAAACAGCATGTCCACAGAGAGGGATTCTCCCACAAAAGAGGAAATCACTCAAGTTTTAAAGTTTCCTTTTAAATCTTTGAAAAAGATTGATGGAGCTTTGTGTGCGTCCTCAAACTTTACAACACAGACCAAACACGGGCATATTAACTGGACCCTGGCACAAGTTTTGCCTGCTTTTAACACTTTGACAACAGCAGAAAGTAACAATAGCAGGCAGTTATCTTACAGTGACTGTTGGCCCCAGTCAGAAGTACAACTTTACTGTTATCTTTTAGTTCTGGAAATGTTGGACAGCAAGTGCACCGACTTTACTTTACAACCTCTCATTTGTCACTTTAGACTGGCTCTGTTCCTCCGCTCAACACCCCTCCCTTAAAACACTTTCTCTTCCAATCTAGATCTCATTTTTCCTCTCCATTCCTCTTCTCATAAGAGCTTCAGCAGCAGCTCATAGGTGGCATTGATGATCCCCCAGGAGAGAAGAGAGCGATGGTAGTTGAGGTGGGCTCCTCTGAACAGCATGGCTATACTGCCACCCCTCTCTCTCCACACTGTTAACAGCACCTCTCTGCAAGGATTGAAGGCTCCACCCACCTGAGACTGAGCCCGCGATTTGACGACATTTAACGGGTAGAACATGATGCCAAGGCCTGCCCCCAGCAACCCTCCGCAAACAAAATCATTAACCAAGTTACCTGCCTTGCTAGTAGCTTCTGGGAGCTGCTCTTTAATGGGTCCCCTGAGCCCAAAGAAGAGAACATTGCTAGGACCATTGCGCAGTAGTATGGGCACGAGGCCACGGTAGCACTCTCTCACACCATACTCTGTCACAAGTGTCCGGAAGGTGTGTGCTGTGTTGTTGAAGCGCCCGTGGTGCCGGTGGTCTTGTAGGAGAGTCTGCACACGCTCAAACGGTGTAAGGATGGCCTCTGCAGTTCCTGCCAAAGCTGCAGCAAAGCTTCTTGTAATCAGCTCTGGCACGCCACTGCTCCCAGCATGGTCTAGTAAGACTCTAGAGAAGTCCTCATACAAGCCAAACATGATGGCTACTGTAGTGCTCTTTTGGAGAAGTGGGGGAAGTAAGCCCCGATAAAGATTCCTCAGTCCATCCCTCTGGAGCTGTCGCACCGCATCGATGGCCAACACGCCATGCAGCTGTTGGCGGAAGAGGACTTTCTGGATCGGAAAGGTCAACAATATATTGGTAAAAGCTGCAAGGGAACCGCAAACATAGTGCTTCCCTTGAGGTCCAAACCTGGCGGTCAGAATGCCAGCAGACAACAGGGAATGGCCTCCTTTTGTCAGGGCTTGGGTCTGAGGTGTCCGCGCTGACTCGGAGTCCATGGTGCTAACAGCCATCAGAGGCCCGGTGCACCACAGCCTTATCCTCAAGCATCACATCAACATACTTCTGTAAATTTATGAAACACATTAGAAAGAAGAAATATCAGCAGGTGGTTTTTTTTTTTTATCTCTTCACCCAAACAAAGATATTAAGTATGACATTATTTGTGAAGTACAAATAAAAAATTAATCTGTGGCTCATATTCTCTAAATGTGGCCTAAAGCTGGCTGAACTTTTCCAACTCAATAACCTGCCTCAGACTTCTACAATTACACTGCAACAACTGCCAACTGATAAGAGTATTACACAGCTTAGCAGCCTGATACGTGCATGCTACGTCATGAGAGAAGCAAAACTGTTATGTACAGACTACACCCTTTATTTGCCTTGAGCATTAAATTTAGTTATTTATACAAAACATGCAACGCATACATCTTGTGACATACAATAACAGCAGTACAAATGGATGTTCCCACCAAAATTATAAGAAATTGTCAAAAACATCTTTAGTATATAAAGCAACAGAAGGGAGAAGTGGTGGTAATGGTGCACGGTCAGGAGAGGTCAAAGGAAATCTACCAAAAGACTCTTGACACAGTTTTAAGTCAGTATTACAACACGAGACGACCACATGGCTGCTTTTGCATGAAATTGCATTGTGACATTGAAAACACCTGCAAGTTTAAAGTAACCAATATTTTTGTGTCTCTGCGCCTCTTTGTTGCAGATTTGCTTCCATGATATTTTAGAAGAAATTACCCAACTTCCCTGCGATGAAAAACGGACATTCCATATCCAAGCATACAGATCACTGTTAGAATTGTGACATCTAATCAGAAATACAGTCCAACCATCCCTTTTAACAATCAGTACATTACATTTACTTTGGATATTCGACTGCACCTTCTTGCTTAAAACCTCTACATTTACTTTAAAATGAGTCATAATCTAACACTATAAGGTATTATTGTTGCACTAAATAAATTGTTAGTTATAATCTTATTTTGATCTTGATATTTTGACTCAAATTTGAGCGGAAACAAACCATCTTAACACAACCTAATCTTAGGCGAACACGCCCTCTGTGTACCGTTTCTTTAGGATTCAGTAACGTGTCGCATCAAGATTTTTCCAAGTTTTCCAAGACAAATAGCAAGACCTCTCGAACATAGAAACACTATTACTTGTTTTCTGTATGAATTACTTAGTAAGGACAAACACATCACTGAGGAGTTAGCACGCTTAGCGTAGCAGCCACACATAGAAATGATGGACTGGTTAGCTAGCTAGCTCGACGGTGCTAGTACCTGCACCCCTCGCTTACGTTTACGTTTAAGATAAAATGAGGAAGTGACGAGATATATAGTCACTGCATGCTACGCAAAGACAATTGTCCAACTAGCATGCTAAGTGGCTAGCAAGAAGAGAGTCAAACGGACAAGTATGATCCATGTTTGGTTGGAAATATCGTCCGCTGCCACTGAAAGTCAACAGGCAAAATAAGAGTCGCGTAGTTTTGGTAACATGAGGACCTGGCCCACAACTGAACCTTTACCTGCAGTGAAACCAGCCGCTGTCCTATCCCTGGACAGGTAGAGCGCTGCTTTCTGCTGGGTAATTGGGCCACTACTGTAGGTCGCGTCTGCAGTCCTAACAAACGCAGGTGACAGCAGCGCTTTTCCACGCCTGCGCACTGCTGTCGATCCGAAACCGTATGCATTGGGTAACGGCTGATTCGGAGGTAGTTTTGAGATGTATTTTAGAATTTATTGTATTTAACAGTGCAAACCTCAATAACTTTAGTTGTTTAAATTTTCCTGATTTTTTTTAAGTACGTCATATCAGAATAGTCGTGTTACAATTGTTCTTATTTTTGTTGTTGTATTTTACCTGATCCGGTAGCCATTCGACGTAGCTGTCGTAAAACGACACAACGCGTCGTGACGTCCCTATCGTAAAGCTAGTGAGTGCGTCGGTAAATAGAGATTTATCTTTTACTTGCTTTCGCTTCTCATTATAAGTGTAGTAGTTGTATTGAAATACAATAGTTGGGTAATAGGCGGTGGTCTGATGATCAGTTATTGCAAATATGCCGGCTGAAAACCAAATAGCTGACGCTAGCTAGCTAACGTGGCTAACTGTAACGTTACATTTGGCTGCTACATTAAAACACGCATGCATATTTTGACATTTTGTCACATCCGGTACCTAAACCCAGAAGTATAGAATGTCAGCCCAAAAGGACTGTGAGTTTTTGGTGAAAAGAGCCCGGGAGCTGGTCTCTGATGATCCCTGTGCTGCCAAAGCCTGGCTCATCACTGCCAGGACCCTTTACCCTGCAGACTTCAACATACAGGTAACGCAAATCATCTCTTCTAGCTGCAAAAGCTGTCAGTAAAAACATCTTCTTACACATCGTGTTTCTGGACCTGTTTTTACAGTATGAAATGTACATCATTGAACGTAATGCAGAAAAGACAGCTTCAGCCGGGCGGCTGCTGTACGACATGTGAGTTACATTTTTAGCGTTAATGTCAAGTTTCCTATCATGAGTCTGACCTCTTACTTAGTTTTGATTTCCCTTTAGGTTCATAAACTTTCCAGATCAGCCCATTGTTTGGCGTGAGATCAGTGTTATTACAGCTGCCCTGCGGAGTGACTCTCAGGATAAGCAGGCACAGTTTCTGAGAGGTGAGAGGGTTTTAACCCTTCATTGCATGCATTAAAAAGTGTGATAATGAACAATGCTTCTTGTGAAAATCTAAAGACTATTTTTTTATTTTATTTTCAGGACTTTTTGAGACACTGCCTGGTCGAGTGCAGTGTGAGATGCTGCTGAAAGCCACGGAGCAGTGTTTCAACACTTTGGAGAAGGCAGAGATGCTGCTGTTACTGCTGAAGCGCTTTCCAGAGTCTGTGGTTCAACATGGGGTGTGTAATATTAGTATTTGCATTGTCTTTTGAAAACTATATGTAATGTTAAAAGCTATTAAAGAACCTGATGTGCTGTTAGGTCAATTTAGGAGAGACATTGCTGGAAGCAGAGGCATCAGAGAATTTGGAGACTCCTGTCAACTGCTTCAGGAAGCTTTTTGGTGAGTACATATTGTCTTTGAATCCATTTCATTTCATCTGAAAAAACAAACAACACTTGCTTCATACAGTTTTTTCCTCCTACAGTGTGTGATGTGCTTCCTTTGGTTATAAACAACATGGATATGCGTCTGCCTGCCAGCCTAATGCAGAAATACATGTTGAAAGCAGCAGAATTCTACATTGGTTATGTTACCCGTGGGCCCTCGCCGGATGGACAGATACAAGGTGAAGATACACTGTGGTGAACTTGTTCTTTGCTTTCTATTTTAGGGCTGTCACAGTGGGATCACTTTCACTCTTAAAATTTTCAGTTCTCTAGTGGGCTTTATAGTGAAGCCTTTGAAGTATTTATTTTTTTCTATTTACTTTGTTTTTCTTGTTTTCTGTTTCAGGCTCTCAAGAAGGTGGGGCTCTGAAGTCACCGAGTGTGTCACGTGCTTCCCAGCGTTACGTGATTGATGGCCTGACAGAAAAATCGTCGGTGGTGGCAGAACCTTGGGAGAAACTGCTGGATATTCTTGCTGTGGTTGGGGCACGATGTGAGTGGCATGGAGACAAGGGACAGAGGTAATCTATCACTTGGCCTGTCACATTGTTATTTAGCTACTGCTGTTGTTCCTGCACAAAGGTGACATAAAGTGTAGGATACTATGCTCAGGGATACCTGATTTGTCTGATTTGGATGCTAAGTGGGGTCAGGCCTGGAGAGTTTGCCTGGGAATACCAGGTCCTGTAAGCACATGACCTTTGGGTGGTTGTGGCTCAGGTTGTAGAGAGGGTCATCTACCAATCAGAAGGTCGGTGGATCGACTGAATCGCAAGTTTCTGTCAGAGCGTCCATCAGAGTGCTGGTTGGTGTGTGAATGCTAGAAAGCACTTAGGCATAGGTAAAAGGGCTGTATGAATGTTTGTGCGATTTGATAGAGCACTTTGAGTGCTCAGCCAGAAGGGTGCTTATCAGTCCATTAGTTTAGTAAGTACACTGTGCAAGTGGCATTGTTGAATTTTGTTACTACATTATATGTGATGCAGAATTATAAATGGTACAGGAATACTGTTGCAGTTGTTAATTATGGCTTCTTTTAATTGTGTCTTTTTGGTTTTTTCTCATGTGCTTTGTTATGCTGTGAGCTTTTTATGAGGTATTTATGTTTTCTCTGAGAAACTGAATGCTATCTGCTACCTTCTTGTTTTATGTTCATGTGTTGTAAATGTTGGGTTGAGTGTTTAAGGACCCCAGGAAGAATGCCTTTTTTAAAATTACATATGAGTTACATTGTGGGTAATAAGTAAAAAAAAATCTTAATTTAATCAAAAACAAACAAAAACAAACACATAATAAAACAAATATAATGTGCCCACATGTAAAATGTAAATAATAGATGGTTAAAATGTGGATCGTTCAATGACTTTGAAGTGATTATTTAAAATTAAATTTTTCAAAGGAATGTTTTCATGTGTTTATTTGCACTGTAGGAGTTATATTGAGATGCTGCAGAGAGTGAAGGAGCTGTGTCGCTACCTGCCTGGTCTAGAAGGAGAGACGAGGGCCCGGTGCTGCAGTCAGGTGGTCATCTGCGCTGCACTTGTCCTCTTCCGTAGTGCCTTCTTCTACGTCTCAGCTATACAGCCTGCACTGTTCCACGGTTAGCTTCTACCTTTGTAGATCTCCATCTTCATTTAATATATCTACGGTAATCTTTTGAGTAAAATGTTACAAACAGGTTTCAGTGTTATTTTTTTCTTTTTAGGAATCAGTGGGTTAAGTTCCGGGCCGTGGATCCTTGTAGAGGATTTGAGCTCAGTGTACAGTGATGTGGAGGTGGAGCGAGGAGCACTGAAACATGCGCATAAGAAACGCAAACTAGCAGATGGAAGAGAGAAGACTATGGTGAGAAAAGTTCAGATATAAGTAAGACACTTTAATTATCCCAGATTGGGAAATTCTTTTGATTACATTTGGATCTGTGTGTCATTATAGAGCTCAGATGATGAGGAAGGTTTGGGGAAAGGCCGTGGTCGACACATTTTAGTAAACAAGAATGACATGACCAACTGGTCAGAGACTTTGGAGAGCTTTCGCACAGCGAGAGAAAGCTGGGACCTTCTTCACTCCCATGATGGTCTGGAAGCTGGTAGGAGATTTTTATGTTCAGTCATGTTGTCACTACATCAAAAGGTTGTTATCAGAACAGCTGAAAATTGTACATTTTAATGTCTCTCAAAGAGTTTAAGAAGATCTGCGCTGCGTGGAAGACAGACAGCTGGCTGTGGTTCCGAATATTCCTCACTGACATGATTATATACCAGGCAAGAGTCGTTTTTAATTTACCTTTTCTGTTTGTGACAAATCATCTGCATCCCTTTTATTTGTTAGCAGCAGCATCTTTAGCTTATTATCTTAGCTTTAGGATCAAAATATGCCATCATTTTAATACTGCTTTGAATTAAATAGCCCCGATCAATGTTGGGAAATGCAATTATTGCATAAGAAAGAACAGATTATACAGATGCAGGCACTCACTGACCACTTTGCCTTCAAAAATTCTGCTGGAAACAACCAGAGAAATCAGAAGATGGCTACTGTGGCAATAAAGGGATGGAGATGGTCAGCAAGAGTACTCAGTTAGGCTGTGGCTTTTAAATGATCCTCTCTGGGGTTTTTTGAGTTACCATCATCTTCCTATCAGCTCAAAGCCATCTGGACCTTTGCCTCTGACCTACAGATATACCTAATAAAGTGGCTGGAGAGTGTACATTTTAAGTTATATAGAATTTAAAGAATGAGGCAAATGCACGCAATAAAACTAAACACAACTGGCTGAAGTTGGCAGATGAAACTGGCTATTTTAATATAATTTAAATACACTTAAGCTAACACATTAATCAACATTTGGATATAATATCTTTTCTAAGTTGTCTTTGGTTATATACTGATTATGTGCTAATGTATTATCTCCAGGGACAGTACCGCAAGGCCCTCTCTAGCCTGCACCAGATGGCTGCAGTGCAGCAGCCTCAGCCTGGGCCACAGAGTCCCTCAGGTCAGGCCAGTCTGGAGCACCACAGGGCCTTCATACAGCAGGCATCCTGCCACTACGCCCTGGGAGAGTACAGGGTATACACATGCACACAAACACACTCTTAGCGTACATTATTTTGGTTTTGTCAGGAGACATGCATATGCTTATATGCCTTTCTTTTTCATAAATCATGTCAAATGTATTTATACAGTATGTTTTAAAACAAATGTAGCTGAGAGAAGTGATGAACTGAATTTGGGAATGTGCACACAATATTAAGGCAGAAAACTTAAATAAAGAAAATAAAGACAGTAATTGATTGAATATTTCAACTTTTTTATTTTTATTTTATGAAAGCACAGCTGGCAGGAAATATACTTTACTGTAACATTTATTGATTCACATTGAAACTTTTGATTTGTAATTGGTCATGTATAATTTATTTGTTTTTGTTTTTTTACATATATATTTACTTAAAATATGTGATTGTATAATAAAATGTTTTGCAGGCCATGTATGAAAAACAAATCAGTGACACCAACTGGCCTGAAGGTGGCACTACAGTTAAAATGGGTTAAAATGTCCTAGATTAAATTCAGGTGTTTAGAACAACTTGCATCACTTTTATTCAATTTTCTCTAAACCAAGCTGACAGACCTGGTCCATCACAGCTCTGTCATTTAGTCAGTTTTACTATATTAGTATAAGTTTCTTAGCCTAACAACATGTCCTTTGTCCAGTCAAATTGTGTGTAATAGTTTTGTATGGTGCTGTTTCTTTTGACAGATGGCCTGTGAGAAGCTGCTTGAAGTTGTCAGTGGCCTAGTACCCCCAAACCAGGAAGCACCAAAGACCCCAGAGGATCCGGTTAGAGTCAAGACCAAAACGAGGAAAGGTAAAAGTTTCCTGAATCTACTCACTGATTCTGTTCATGAACAGTTTTGATTTTTTTTTTCCGCTAATTTGAGATATGACTACGTTTGTGGCGTCTGTATTTATATGTTGCTTTGAGTACTGTTAACATTCCCTGTTCTTTGGTTTTAACCAGGTAATGACTTGCGATTACTTCCATGCACCAGCAAATCTGTGCTGCCGTTCTGTCTCCAGCTGATGCTTGCCTGCTTTAAGGTACATAGACAGGATACATCTGTGGAAATAAGTGGGTGCAAGGGCTTGGATACGTTTTCCTATGCAGACTTTGAGGAGACATGCTCTGTGCTGTAAGGCTTAATGAGACTGTGACAATCTTTGCTTCCTTTTCCCCCCCTTTTTTGGCCAATCAGCTACGTGCCTTCACTGACAGTCGTGACGACCTGTCCCTTGGTCACGTGGTGGTGCTCCTGCAGTACGACTGGCCACAGGGCGAGATGCTGTTTTTAAAGGCAGTGGACAAAATATGCCAACAAGGCAGCTTCCAGTATGAGAATTTCTTCAACTATGTCACCAGTATCCTTTTTGCCTTGATTTCTTGCCTTTATTTTGGTGTAGATAGACAGTTCTCTTTGTGATTCCTTTATGTGTTGGATGTTGGTTTCCTTAAACTCATGGTTTTTCTCAGACATTGACATGCTGGAAGAGTTTGCATACCTGCGTACTCCAGAAGGAGGTAGAATTCAGCTGGAGCTGCTGCCCAATCAGGGAATGCTGATCAAGTAAGCAACCTCCTTCCCATTATGAGCTTTTCTTTAGTTGGCATCGTGACTGCACTCTCCCTTTCTGTTGGTGTGCTTTTAAAAGAGGACAGTGCTACTGACTGATCTACATAGACAAGGCCTGTGGGGAAAAATTGACCTTTTAAACTGAAAAAGCTGTAAATGGAGTGGGCGTTTATAAAGAGGAGTTCATGGTTTAAGTGAAGAAAGAAAAAACTGTTTTCTGACTCCTTCGTTCATTACTGTAGAAGTTCAGACGTTTGAATGCACCCTCACTGACAGTTGTTGAATGTTGCTGTCCCTCAGGAACCCTAGCCCTGCCCTGGGGGTGGAGTTAAATACTCTCCTGCTACAAGGGGTGCAGACGATGGACAGGTACCCCAGGCCCCTCCTCCCACAGTCCCCATCCCGCCCCTACCACCCCACCAGTCACCCTTCCTTCATCCCCAGCTTCAAGGCTTGTCATCCCCCAGTTTTAATTTGGGCCTGTCATTTTACATCAAGAGTTAGTCGTTCTTTGATTTCTGTCGGCGTTTGTTTATTTGAGCCATTACTCGCCTTTCTGTGGTCATCACTGTTGTTGTTACAGAAGACGATGTTGGTGTTTTTGTATAGTGAATTTAGTTATTTTGCCTTGTCATAACTCTTGATCTCATTTCATGTGTGGACATGTTTCATGTGGTTTTGATTATTAATATAATGGAATGTTTTATGTTTTATTTGAAAAGACTGAAAATGCTGTTTGGCTGATTTATGTGTGTGTGTAAGGAAAATGTAACCTGAAGTATTTATGAGTTATTTTTATTGCATAGGTTATATAATCTAAGCCTCTGTTTATTTTAAGGTATCTCATAAAACCCCTCTGACCATGTCTATGTTTGCATTTATTTTTTAAAAAAAAGTCTTTTTCCTCTTCCAGACACCACACAGTGACTCGAGGAATCACCAAAGGAGTGAAGGAGGATTTCCGTCTGGCCATGGAGAGGCAGGTGTCACGTTGTGGGGAAAACTTGCTTGCTGTGCTTCACCGTTTCTGCATTAATGAGAAAATAATCATCATCCAGTCGCTTCCCTGACACCTGGATTTTAGCTTGTGAGGTTTCAGGCACAATTTAAATGCAAGTGGACTGACTTAATGACCAAGAAAGCTGATTCTCTGCAGACACATTTCCAGCTCTCTTGTCTTTCTCAGCCAGCACTGAACTCTTAACATGCAGGCTTATTCTTTACCTTCATAGTGAACTTCTCTTTTTAGAGTGTTAGCAACAATACTGATAGACAACTGCTTTCATTTTCACATTACAGTATGTGTATTTTTTCTTCATCAGTGGTACAAAGTTGAGATGGTAACATAAATAACCACCACATTTCATATTGTGATGTCTTGCCGGAGTCAGTAATGACAGAAGTGCATTTTTGATACTTTTTGTTAGGTTAATGTTTTTGCTACAATCTTGAATCAAATTGTTAGTTTGTATGGATGTTTCCATTAAATGTTACTTGAATGGTTTAAACAAGTTTATGTGTTATTTCATAATTTATACATTGCAATCATATCAGATGGTCATTAAATGCTAATTAAACAAATGAGATAAATTAACCCTAAAAGGTGCCCGGTCTTTAAAGGTGCAGGGTAGCTATGACGTATTTCCAGTGTATCCAAATACTTTTGTAGCCCTTTTTTTACCCCTTTTATCTGTGTCCCTCTTCAAGTCTTTCCTCTGCCCAATGCTCCTGTACTTGTGCGACTGGAGCATTTGGCAGGTCAGTCTGTAGGGCAGCTCTGAGGTTAGCCCAGAATAACCTTTGTTTTGCCCTGTCTTGAGGCCACTCCAGATATGTGTGGCGGTTCATCATGGACTTCAGCTGGTAGTACTTGGATGGGATTAGGTATTGAGGCAGAGGCTCAAGCAGTACCAGTACAATGCTGTCTGAGCCCAGAGTGAGACGTTGGTGGGTGGCGAAGTAGAGCTCGTAATGACACCACTCGCTCTTGACAAAGTGAGCAGAGAGGACAAACACAGAGCGCCTGCATTTCTCCACACAGCTGATGATGTTCTCAATGATCGTCTTTCCCGGCACAAAATCTTTCTCGTGATGACAGATTCTAAGCCCTCCTGCGGGGCCTTCGAGGTTGGGAAGAAGGGAATTGCGCACCCAGTCAACATCGTGCTGGCTATAAGACACAAACGCGTGGAACTCCAGACCCACCAGATCCTCGGGCCGAGCTTGCTGCATTCTTGCACGATGTTTGGCTCTTGTCCACTGCCAGATCATGCCCGTGTACCAGGGAACATCCAAACAGTGACACAAAATCACAATGAAAATAATCAGTGTCCCTGCTGGAACCAAAATTGCAACCACTAGAAGGCCATTGCTGCAGGAGACCTCTGGGATCGAGATGTCTCTTAAAGTTGAGTTTCTAACGTCCTCCGGGTATGTGCAGTAATAGCCCTGTGGCCAATTCAGCAGCTCAATACCTGATTGGTTGTTGTTGTTCTTTTCAGATTTGATAGCAAGCTTTATGAAACCTCTGAGAGTGCAGGTACAGGTGAAGGGGTTAAAACTGACATCTAGGATATGTAGTTCGGGACAGCTTTCCAATATGTTCACAGATGGGGCATGGAGAGAATTTGACCTGAGCAGAAGCTTGTGGAGTGTGGGGAAAGTGCCACAACCTGGCAGGTCCCGCAGCCGGTTAGCATTTAGATTCAGAGTTGAAAGGTTTCTCAGTTTGAAGATGGATTGCGGAACCACCGAAATCTGGTTGTTCTGGAGGTCCAGTATCTGTGTCCCATTTGGTAGACATTGAAAAACTGAGTCGGTCAAACTATTAGAAGACAGATTTATATTGGTGATGCTTGCTGGCCAGATGCACTGTGATGACTGGTCATACCCTATGGAGTTGACGCTGAGGTCCAGATGTTGCAGGGACGACATGTATCGAAAACGTTGGCTCAGTATCTCAAGTTTTTTAAGACTGTTGCCTACCAGAGTCAAGTTCTTCAGGTTACGCAGGTTCTGACATTCAACTACGTTTTTACCCACCGCACTTGAGAAGATGGAATCAGACATAGCACAATTAGAAAAATCCAGCTGGCGTATTGGACTCTGTGACTTGGGACAGGTCATGTGTATTATTGGCGTGTCAGTAATCGCAACACTCTCCACTGGCATGCTGATGAAAAAGTTGTATAAAGCCTCCTGTGAGAAGAAGAAACTTGTTACCACTGCCTGGCTGGCTGTGAAAGAAATCACCTGTGATGTTTTGATCACTTCTGTTTTGTCTTGAGGAGGCTTCTTTATGTTCATTTCAGAGGCATGAAGATGTTTCAAAGTTGTATTTAGAGCCACATTTACATATTCAGTTAAGTCTTGCCATTTAATTGTTATGTTGGTGAGATAAAAACTCGTTGTGTGGATTTTCACCGTCTCTCTTAGCTGCTTACTTAGGTCTTTGTAGCCATTTATCATATTCATTATCTCCACTTCAGCAAACAGAGACAGAGCATCAGCAGTCAGATTACGGTCAATTTTTTGATTATGTCCAAAGGCTATCTGCAGCCTTTGAGCATGAACATCCTCCAGGCTGCCTGCTTCATAATAAAGTCCATCCTCTAGTAATAACGTCAATGTACGTAGTTTCATTTTAGCAATGTTCTTGAAGTCACCCACACTGATGTTTTTTGCTCCAACTGTTAATCTTTCCAGTTTTACAAGAGAGCTGAACTCACTCCCCAATGTCATGGTAAGAAATCTGTTAAAGGCCAAGTTTAGCACCAGGAGGTTCACTGTGTGTAGCAGGTATTGTTGACCTGAGAGGTTCTTGAGATTGTTGTGCGACAGATCCAGATGTTCCAGGAGAGGCGTGTCAAGAAAAGTCTGTGGATCGATCTTCTCCAAACCGTTCCATGACACATTCAGGAACCTGAGGTGAGTGGTTTTTTGAAAGTCTCCATTGTGAAGCTGACGTATGTAGTTGCGAGAGAGGTCTAAAAACTCAGTCGTCTGTGGCAGGTCAGTTGGGACAGAGGAGAGGTTTTGGGATGATCGGTCTACAAAGTTGTCAGGTGATGAAGCGCTCTTCTGAAGTCCCACCAACACGGCTGCTGTCCAGAGTACGGCTGCTGTGACCCTCATTGTAGCTTGTATAAGAAAATATAGCCATTAAACAGGTAGCATTTGTCTGTGTGTCATTCTGTCTGTAAATATATAATAGCTCAAAATGATTTGAATAAATTCTGATAAATGTTTGTAATGTTAAAAAGTGGAGTCATGTTAACAATACATTATAATTTGGTTACATATACCAGGGTTATCAAGGTCAACTTAATAATAATTAACAATATTGATCAAAAATTTAAAAAAGGGGATTCTAAATATCACGTTACCTTGGATGTCTAACACTGAAGAAGAAGTCAGAAGATATGTTTAAAACTATGTTTAATATTCTACTGATTTTGTTCGTATTGCCAACATTTAGGGGAAGATACTGATGTTGTGGGATTTTAACGATCACATTATAGTTTGCATCCAAATATCATTGCAAATTTGACCTCTGATCTCACATTTACATTTCACATCTGCCTTTCTTTTCAAGAGTTTTGGAGTCAATACAGCATTGGCTCCAAAATGCATATAATAATAATGCTCGGAGTCAAGTTCGTGACATATATAATGTAGTATAATGTCATATAATATGATTAAGTGATTTGTGTCCAGTCAATTGCAAATAACTAACTTTAAATTTTAATAAACAACAAAAATAAATGCCACACATGTACTGCACCTACATGAATACAAATAAGAAAAAATAATTATACTCAAAAAAATGTCAGGTATATTAAAATGGGTTTCAAACTAAACAAATATATACAAAACACAATATTATATCCTTAAAAGTAAGAAACTACCCAGAGAGTGAGCTGCCTTAGTGGAGGTTTGCACTCTTGGAGTAGTTTTTGTTTAAAATAAATGCTGTCTACCTCTTTGGTGGCTACAATTCTCAGAAACTGCTGGGGAGAAGTAAGGATTTGACTTAACGATCACTTTATAGGAAGCAGTGTGTAACAGTATCCTTTCTAAACTTGTTTAAATAAGACAGGATTGATAAAAGCACAAATCAGGTTTTTATCATCTGAGTGATAACAAAAATTTGGTATTTGGAAATCATCATCATGTGTCTGTCATGAATAAATAAATGTGTAAAATTAAATAAATGGTTCTAGTAGCTCATCGGTCAGATGTCATGCAAATATAAAACAAAGTTTTTGTTAATTGACAGATGTCCCTTTTTCAGAATTGTCTGTAGTAGATAATGAAAAAATAAGAACTTTTCTCCCATTTATTTGTTGATCTATCAGTTAATGACTCTGGTGTAGTATGAAGTACCATGGTGGAGGTCTTTATACAGCTGACATTTCACAGAGCCACCCAGTGTGATGGATTGGTGTCTTTACTGGGTCGATTCTGCCCAGAATTTGATTTTATTTATTTCAATCTAAATCTTAAAATAAAGAAAACCCAAAACCACATTCACATTAATTCAAAGGAAAACACAATTTTATTCAAAGATGGTTAAGAGTCCACTAACCTGTGTTGCCGTCTGATGGTCACGTTTTGAAGTCTCAAGTACCAAAAATATCAGTCACAATGGTTCAAAATCTCTATATGGGAAAAGAAATGGAAATCAGTCAAACAAAACTGACTGATAGAGGAACATGTAGCAGCAAATGAAGTCTGGCTCAAATGTGACCAAAAGGCAAGCATCAGCACTGAGTCAACAGTTGTTGACAGTAATTTTAGTTTCTAAGTTACAGTAAAAAAAAAAAACATGAAGTTGAGCAGAAACAGGCACAGAAATAAAAATAAGTTCCCAGGCTCTTCATCCTCTTTTACCTTCCCTTTTTATGCAACAGTGCATTTTATGGAAAGAAACTTATACGATAATGTATTAAAAAATGAAGATAAAGTCCAGAAATTGGATTCAGTGTATATTATTGCCTTGAGGAGGGTTTTACTCCTGGTCTCTAGACACATTTTTGTTTGTTTGTTTGGTTTTTAACACATTTTTTTTTTGTGATGGGGAAGCTATGTGTGTGTGCAGACAGATAAACAGACACACACTCGCATTAACCCAGTTCCGAGCAATGTTTTTACTCTGGCAGTGCCAATCTTGCCTTGGGTCAGCGACTGCTACGCAAAAAGCAATAGGAGCTCAATTGAATATCATCTTATAAGCCAGTGTCACTAATCTCACCTGGAACAGTTTGATCAAATTCTAAAAGAACACTGCTGATTCGGTTATAGCAGCTTCTGGCTATAAGATAACAGAAAACTGGCTGTCTTTGTACAGCAAATGTAGTTATTTTGTCTTTTCATAACACTTGATTTCATTTGATATGTGAACATGTTTCATGTGGGTTTCATTATCATGATGGCATATTTTTCTTTTTTTAATTTGAAAACATCACGTTTTGCTAATTACGTGTGTGTGTAAGGAAAATGGATCCTGCAGTATTTATGACTTACTTTTACTGCATAGGCCATATAAATTTAAGCCTCTGTTTATTTTAAGCCAGCTCATAAAACCAGATTTCTGCTCATGTCTGTTTTCATTTATTACATGTATTTTTTTTTATCCTTTTCCTCCTGCAGAGACCACACAGTGATTTGATGAATTACCAAGACTCAAGAAGGATTTCTGTTTCTGTGAGAGTCAGGTGTCTCTAAAAGTTAGAAATGTGTGACTTACAAAAATAACTGTGCCATAATGTTTTATTTAATTATAATACCGTATTTTCTAATTGTTAAAATATGTTATCTTCTTTAGTTATTTCAAAATAATTGTCTTGATGCATTCTCAATCATCCAGGTAAGTAAATCTCCAAAAGTTGATTCTGTTCATCTGGATGTAGCGTTTTCAGTGGGAGAAAGGTTTCATCACTCATCCAAGTGACTTCTTTAGTCCAACCAGCCCACTGTTCCTTCAGTGGGCTGGTTTCAGTCATTATGCAAATGTTCTGTTTATCAGACCCGTTGCCCTGACTTCACACCTGATGAAGACCATGGAGAGTATCATACTACACCACCTTTGCCCACTAGTCGGGAGAGATCTAGACTCGCTGCAGTTTACCTACCAGCTGAACATCGGGGCGGATGACGCTGTCACCTACCTGCTGCATCGGTCCTTCTCTCATCTGGAGAGCACCAGGTGCACACTGAGTCATGTTTTTTTGATTTCTCCAGTGCCTTCAATACAATCCAACCCTCAGTGCTAAGGGAGAAGATGCAGGGAGCTGGAGTGGACCATCAGCTGTCCTCATGGATTATTGACTACCTCACCAGTAGACCCCAGTATGTGAGGCTGCGGGACTGTGTTTCTGAGGTGGTAGTCTGTAGCACGGGGGCCCCACAAGGAACAGTACTCGCCCCTTTTCGCTTCACCCTGTACACTGCGGACTACAGTTATAACACGGACACTTGCCATCTCCAGAAGTTGTCAGATGACACCGCCATTGTGGGTCAGGTGTCGGAGGGAAATACAGTGGGGTCGTCAATGACTTCGTCAACTGGTGCGAACAGAACAGATCTTTGCATCAATGCCAGCAAGACAAAGGAGCTGGTGATTGACTTCAGCAAGAAGCCACCCCCTATTACACCAGTGAACATCCAGGAATTGGACATTGAAACGGTGGAGGAGTACAAATACCTGGGTGTTCACCTCAACTACAAACTGGACTGGTCCACAAACACAAATGCACTTTACAAAAAGGGTTTAAGTCGTCTCCACCTGCTACGGCGGGTGAGATCCTTCAGGGTGAACAGGACACTCATGAGGACATTTTCCGACACTGTGGTGGTGTCTGCTATTTTCTATGCTGTGGTCTGCATGAGTGGTGGAATGGCAGAGAGGGACAGGGGGAAACTCAACAAACTAGTCAGGAGGGCCAGCTCTGTCCTGGACTGTCCGCTGAAGTCCATCGAGCAGGTTGGGGAGGAGAGGATGTTGTCTAAGCTAATATCCATCATGGACAACACCTCCCACCCCCTGCATGAAACCGTATGAGCGCTGAGCAGCTCGTTCAGCAGTCGAGTTTTACACCCACAGTGTAGGAAGGAGCGCTACCGCAGGTCATTCTTACCAGCAGCTGTCAGACTCTATAATGCAGCTTAACATTCTTTTGGTCATCTTACTCACCAGCTTGTTTGTTTACCACCTTGTGTCTTCCTTTTATATTTTATTGTCCTTTGCTGTAAGAGCTCTGTAACACCGAAATTTCTCATCCGTGGGATAATAAAGGTTTATTCTATTCTATTCGCACCCCGTTCTCTGTTTACCATCGGGGCAGGGGGTGTACGGAGGAATTGCCATCTGATTGGGGTCTGGATGTGGGGCCTCCCTGCTGCTGGGGGCGGGGGCGGCCTGCTTGTTTCCACCCCAGGGAACAGGGTATCATCTCCTGGGTCTAGGTACCATCACCCCTCTGAGGGTGAAGGTGCCTGGACCTAGGGTATAGAGTATGTTTAGGGATTGTGAGTGTGTGTACAGTGTCCATTTATGTTTGTCTCCACGTTTGGTGAGTGACAAGTATTTGTATATGTGCGCATGAGAGTGGGAATGTACACTTGTGTCTGTGTGTGCCTGTTTGTCTGTGTCTATATGTCAGGTCAAGTCTTATACTCCACCTCTCTGGGAACATCTCAGGCCCTCCCAGGTGTGGGGGCCTATCTCCCCCACCACACTATCTGTCGTTGGCTGATGCCCTCAGACATTGGTGCATTGGTGGTTCTGGGTGTTTGGGGCCAGGCGCTCAGGTATGTACCGGCTCACTCCCGGTGGCTACCTAGTGTGGCATGGCCCAGTTGGGCCCCTTCCGGGAGGTGGGGGGCCTTCGGACCTCAGGCCTCTGGGCTTGGGGATTGGTCCACTCTGTACCAATGTACAGGAGAGCTTAGGAGAGCCCCAGACGTGGGGTCACCCAGCAGCCATGGTGGAGGAGCCACAGGGGGTTGTGGTGATGAGCCTGCAGGGTCTGCTGGCAGCCAGTCACGCCAAAGTGGACTGACACCACTCGCTCTTAAAGTTGACCGGGAATTTAATACTATCACTTGGACTGTTCCATCACATCCCTCTCAAAGTGGTG